GTGTGTTAATGAGGGTGCACTTGGTCAAAGCACATGCGACAAGGTGTGGAGACAAGAGGGCGAAGGAGAGGAACCCAGAGAGTGAGGCTCAGCAGACGACCTGTAATGATGTATCTGGATGGAAACTAGATGCTCCGGCTGCCTGTGGTGGTCCAGACAGGGAGAGGATTTTACAAGAGGAGCGAAAAGCTTGAAAAATAATAATACAACAGGCCAGTGGCTGCTAAAGCCGTCTCTCATTTTTCTTTGACAGCTTTTGAACGGAGTCTGCTTTTTAAGCGAACTGTAAAGTTCCTGACAGACGTCTTGGTTGCGGACGTGGCACTTTGAAGAATTCTCTCACATCACACGGCCAAGGTTAGAAGGAGCGTGAGTACATCTGTGAGGCTGTCCCTCATAAATGGTTAACAGCACACTTGTCAGAGCTGCGGACAGATGAGTGATTGGACCTTGAGGCGGTGGAGGGGCTGGTTAAACCGGCTTTGCCGAATAGAAATGTCCACACTTCAGGGGCTCCGGGGAGGCGGGCGGAGCTATGAGCCAGCAAACTGGTAATTGATTTGGGATGGAGGTCTGGTGTGAGTCCCTTCTCTCTGCAGGGGATTTTGACAACACGGCTGTGACTGATGAAATCAGCGACCTCTGACCTCATGTAGTCGCAGGTGTTTAAGTGGCCACAAGCTGATTACTGCTCCTGATTGCTGTAATGTGGACTCTGTTGGAATCTGTCTGATGAATTGTCTGCTGATTATTTGTGTGTGTATATTTGACAACAGGCATCAATGTGCAGGGATGGCTCATAAGCTCATTTTCACCATCACAACTAAAACTTCTAAATAAATCACTATACCAGAAAGAAACATTTTAAATAAGCAATTCAATACAGCAAAACAAGAATATAAAAATGTCAACAACTAAACCATGATCTAAGTTTATTTTGAACCCTCTGAGCCAAAAATCCTACCAGCGAGTGTCTTTTATATAATCACCAAAATCACACACATTTTATCAAAGCTATAAACTGTAAACATATAAAGATTCATACGAATTTGAACTGTCCGACAGTCTGAGAAGCACTTATCTGTGATGCGTCATTTTGTCGAAAAACAAATCTAAGCCAAAAATATGTTATTTCTATTATTGCTGTTAATCAGAATCACTTCTTTCGAAAAGTGTCATTTAAAAATTTGCCCCAAAAATGTGTCTGCTCTGATTCTGTAAAAAATAACATCTGTGCTCATCATGAAGCCATTAGTGACGCAGCTGCAACCAGCAATTTCGTGACAAAAATCTTGGGACTTTGAGCTGAACTGGATTGAACTACAGGCTGTGTGTATTTATAAGCAGATTTTTTAAAAATAAGTTGTTAAATATCTATAATATGCAACGTGACCATTATATTCCAGTATTGAAAACACCTGTGGGCAGTTAGAAAAAGGTTGTGTATGTAACATTTTTATTTATTTTTTTATTATTCTGTAAAATCAGTAATAAGAAAAAAGGTTTTTCTTTTCTTTTCTTTAATGATTTACAGCATTGCAGCTGTCATACTACACAGAAGACATGTTTGATTTCCAGCCGTTGTTGCCTCCATTAAGGTGCAGAAAAAACGATGTTTCTGGTTAAAAGGGGTTAAAAGTGCACCATGCATTGCATTCCTGTGTTTCCACATGCAGAGGTTATAGTATTTCTATAGGTACAGGTATGGATTGACTGCGTCTACAGCGGTGGCCTCTGGCAGTGGCCCTTGTTTTCCTAGAAATGGTGTCTGTCCATTAGTACTGGCTGAACGATGGAAGAGCAATTGTGCACATAACCTTAAAAGCAAAGTTCATTCATGTTTGAAATTTCCACACTGATGTCCATAAGTGATTTTTAACAATAATGTAGACCATGAAAGCCTGATAAGCTTGGTTTCTTATATGAAGTATTATTATGAAGATACGCCATGGACTAAGTAACAATCAGGCACACATATATATATATATATAATAAAGAATACTCATAATAAATGAAAAAAAAATGTCTTCATATAGGAACAAAATACCAGAAAAATGACAGATATATTTCAGAAATTCTCACAACAGGTTGATTTCTATTGGCAAAAGTTAAAAATGACATTTGACTTGTTGTAAGAGAAGGACCCTGTAACAAAAAGACGTAAAGTTATTAGTAATGTTGAGATTCATTCTCACCAGAAACCCAAAGGTATCACAGGCAAATGTCAAAATGACCTCTGTTCTAACTCGCTGAAACCCAAGCAGCTGTTAAACGTTTTCTGCTCCTGTTGTATTTTTACCCACCGTGGGCTCATTTTTTATTGCAACACGTGATAATATCATATGAAGTCCTTCATCTCTATGTAGTGAGAACTCAAAAATGTCTTCTGTGTAGTGAGACACAGTCATGATGCCACTACTCAAAAAAAATAAAATGTAAGTTAAATATAATTGATTACTTAAAAAAAAGTGGAATTAACATGTACAGCATTTTTTCTGCCCACAGGTGTTATCTATATTAAGAAAAAATGGAGATTCCATATACTACAATCATTTCCCTGAGGTACCCTACCAAAGGGATCAATAAAATTCTATCCATCTAATCTATCTACTATAGTTGTTTTACTAGTTACATTTGCTCCGTGTAAACTTTCAAGAAAGTGCAGGCTGCACTTCAACCGAGTCTTTCTTGAATTTTTTTATGTGACTGTTGCTATCAGTTGACTTACTGGTGGCTTTCAGGGTGTTTTGAGGAGTTCCAAATTTTTGTTTTTTTTACTGAAACTGTTTATTTTTACCATTACAAAACCCCCAAACATACAGAGCAATGTGGTTTTGATGAAACATTGTAATTTTGAGCTTACAATGGTTTCCCAACCAAACTGAAACTAACAAACGATTCACTCGAGGACTGAAAAAGAGTTCAAAATTTGACGATTATCTACGTTTTCACTGTTTCTGGCTCGGTTAAATAGTGTAATTCTGGCATTGCATCTTAAAACAAAACAAACAACGTACAAAGAATTCATCTGCAAAAACAGAAAACTACATTTTTGTAGATTTTCAAAAAACTTTTTTTTTAGTTTGTTTGCTTGCTGAGATAATATCAAACTGAAGTTGAGTGGATTGGACTCAGTAGAAATGACACGACACAAATAGAGATAACTTACTGATATTGTCTCAGGTAGACGATGGAACAGTGGATTTTCTGAAGGTTTGTGAAAATAGAGTTATCTGTTTTTGCAAATGAACTCTTCATACCCTTCAAACCTGCCAGTGGGTTTTGCAGTTTAGAGGGTGAACCTAAAAACAACATAAACCTTTCTGAGTTGTGTGCATGTACATTTTCTCTGAGGCATGTGATTGATTGTAATTTAAGTGCACTGCACCAAATTTGCATGCCTCCAGGTTTCACCTTGACGTCATCAATCTTTTATACTCGAAGAAGAACCCTCCGGCACAAACACACACACACACCCTTCCTTCAATGACATTACCTCAGTCAGTCCTCTCAATCCGGCACAGAAGTGTTAACCAGAGATAAGGAAATCATGAAGCTTCATGTCGGTGCCTCTTGTCCTTCTTATCTCCTTCCATCAGACGCCTGCCTTTGATGAGAGGTAGATCAACCGCATCAAAAGGAAGTAATAAGACGCCGTGTTCAGATTTTTTTGTTTTTTTGCATCTGGCAAACTTCTCCTTTCTGTAATTTCAGAACTGGAGATGCATCTGTAGCGTTCCCTTCATCATCTGTTGTGCCTTTATGTCAGGGGTGGTGTGAGCGTTTGATCTCTGAGCTGGAGAAATTACAGACAATCTCAGAATAATGGTACAGAAACATACGGCGGCATAATTATGCCCTCGTTAAAAATAATGAACAGAGACGCTGTGTAGGCAACTGTGCAGCGGCGAAGACGAAGCCAAGCTGTTGCTGGCAAAGTTGAGTGTAAATAAGCCATGTCTGTTGTCGATGATCTTACTTACTGTGCTCCACTTTACAAATAAAAAAAAAAGAAATCCTGGCAGAAACGGGGATTTGGTGTCACTGAGGGCAGCTTAGGATCTCTCAGAGTCACTGTTTTATTTATCGACGGTCACTGATTGTCCTCAGGGTCACCTCATTGCAAAGATATGTTGTTGGGAAATACGCGGTTTTCTTCCTTTAAACAGAGGAGCGCTGCAGTGTAGTCGTTCTGAGCATCTTTCTAGTAACTGTATCAGTACAACGTGGTGCATCTGGGCTGCTTGGAAATCCTAAATGAAATTGCCCCCAAAAAAACCAAACAACTACTACTACTAAAAAGGGAGAACAAGCATTTGCAAATCCTGGATAGTTCAGAGATTAAAGCATTCCCAAAGCTTCTGAGAGTAGAGGCAGCATGACGCAGCTTTAATCACATCACGCCAGCAGCACGCCACATGTACCCTCGACTTGTATTTATTCTTTTTTGTTGTTGTTGCTTGCTGGAGCTGTTTCTTTGCTAGTAGAGGAAAAAGAGAGAGTGCAATATTTGTTTTTTTTAGTTTAGAAGTGCTAATTTTTGTGTGTAGTGAGGATCTTTTAGAGAATTTTCAGTTTACAGAAGTAACACCAGACAGTCATGCACGCTTTAGACGGACCTCCAGGTTGGTCAGACTTATTTAGAACAGAAAACTTCCTGGTTCAGCTTTGCCCTGCCGTACTGACTGTAGTTGTTTTGACATGCTGTGGTGTTGTGTAGCGATGAGGGACATTTTGGATTAATTTCACTCTAACTCTGGCTGTTTGTGTTTTTTTGCCCTGTTTTGACTTTGTTGTGTTCAAATGGGGATACATTGCTATCATTGGTCAACACAAATGGTGACAAAATCTATTGAAATACTACTAGGCTGGTTTTTGTTTTGCCCCTATCTGATTCAAGTCATTTAATATTTAGTGTCTGCCCATACCAAGTCCCAATCCAAGAACATTTTTCCAGGTAGCACACACATCCGCAAGTGGCAGAACCAACCAACTCGAAATGGAAGACGGGAAACAGCCCTCTTGGTGGGAAATTTTGTATTTTTTTCCAGCCTTTTTTGCCTTTACTGTGTCGGAGAGTCAAGAAAGTGGGGGAGAAGGACTTGCACCAAAGGCCATGAGCAGGATTTGAACCCATGACCACTGCATCAGGGACTATAGCCCCTATACATGGGTCGCCAGCTATACCAGTAGCAATATAGCGGCGGCCCTCTTGTTGGGAAATCTGAATACAAAAAAAAACCCAAGACGGAACAGTCGACCAACATACAGAACTATGCACACAATGCAGGAAGGCTAGCTGGTTCCCTTGTAGATTCCATTTACAGAGGCCAGTATCGGCCATGAGTGATGTGTGATGATGCTAAATGCTGCAAGGTATTCCAAAAGTAGTTGTTAACACAAATACCAGTCTCTGGCTGAAAAAAGAGTAACAGGGCCTAATCAATGTTAGTCTGGAAAAGGAGACAAGTTTTTTGTTAACATGAACCTTTAATGGAGTGCATATATCTTCCCTTCTGTCTGGAGTCTGTTTGCAAAATGAAACGCGATTAATATAGATTAAAAATGAATGATGTTTAATTGTGATTAATCAAAATGAGTCTACAGCAACTCTGTGATTAATCTGATTAAAAATCGTTTGACAGCACTAATTTTAACTAATTAGGTTAAACTAGCACCACCAGTCCTACTTTTCCACTGGGAGGCAGTTTGGCTCAACGGCTGCTGACTTATTAGGAGAAAATGAAGCAAAAACTAACGAAAACGCTCTAAGACAAGAAGAGAGAGAGACTGGCTGACGACTACCGGCTTCTACAGAGCAGTCTGTCTGGCAGCCATTCCAGGTGAGTTCAGCCTCCCTGATTACTCAGCTCCCCTCCAGGTTCCTGCAGGGAGAAGCCTGGCAAGCCTGTCCAGAGGACTGTCACAACACTGAGAGGAGCAGTGTTACACTATAGCTGTGTGCTTTTCGACAGTTCTGTAGTCGTGTTCAAAGCTGCACCGGAGTATTTACTTCAGTGCAGCTTGAGGAGACCTGACACATTCCACGCCTCCACACACTGAAGTATTTAGTGCAGCTTTAGTAGGACGCACGGAGGAAGTTTCAGTCATTTTCCGTGGGTCATTTTTAATGATTTGTTTGCTACAAATGAGTATTTTCTTTCCCCATAAAGTTTTAGGCTTCAGAAAGTTGTGTTTTGGAAAAGCAGAGGCGCCACCGGAGTGTCGGGGGTTCCAGGTTGTTTATGAGCGACGAGCAGCAGCCGAGCACACCGTCTACCTTTCTGTTCCCTCTCATGAGGACAGTGATAATCATATGGTGTTTGCGAAGGAACAACCTTGTTATTAGTGTTGTCGGTCACCCCTCTGACAGGATTATGACTTTGGGACAGTTGCTGAAGGTGGTGAAATGAGGCACGAGGTCCGCAGAACACGATAATTACAGTGATTGTATCAGTGCTCGCATGCTTCCATAAATTCCTGCGCAAAGGGGACACGCTGTAATTTACTGGCGTTGCATAAGAAGGAGAAATAACTGGTTAGCTGAGGCCTGCAACTACGTACTGATGCGTTCATTTCATTTTGAAGCACTGTTTTTCCAACAGGTTTGGCTGCTGGTGTTAAGCCACATTGAAGGACAACCAATCCAACATCAGCTTAAAGTCTGATCTCGTTTCTCGTCCTGCGGTGTTCCTATGTGCCTGTAAGTCTATTTACATTGTTCCCGTTTCATATCTGACCTCTTTTTTTTGTGTTTTCCTGCAGATTGTGGCCTTACGGGAGCAAAATGCTCACATCCAGAGGAAAGTGGCATCTGGAGAGGGAGGAGAGGACATACTGGAGGGCAGTGAAGCTCAGCAGAAGGTCCACGGCAAGGTGAGCGTCCTCTATGAAGTATAGCAGGGACAAAAAAACTTTATGTAAACTCATGTGCTTTGGTTAAACTTTCTTAAGATTGCATACAGGAAGTCATGCTTCTGTAATGCTTCCATCACAGGCAGACTGTCAATCTAACCGAGCAATACCTGCAAAATATGTTTTAAATGAACTGCGAGTATAAAAAATAAGTCAAGCTCCTGATTTCACATATGTTCAGTTATGTTTTTGTAGGTTTTTTCTCTCCACATGGTTCTGTATAAATGCCATTTCAAAGTCTTAAAAAGCTGCACTGCAACAACTGTCCCTCATAGAAGTTTTGAATTTACTATTGCTGAGCTAAAAAAATAAATAAATCAGTCAGTGGAGTCAGGCTAATTTGCTTCTTTTCTTGAAACTAGCAAGTAAAACATGATATTAACACCTAAAAAAGACTTGGATTTAAGCCTTTTTAGTTTCACGAAAGTGTCAGAAACTCAAACTAAAGATGCAGGAAACTATTATATATCATCACCGTAGTTGAGAAGTCATTACAGCAACAGTCATAAAATTCATAGTATTTTTTAAAATATATATATTATACTACAGGAAAGCTAGTCCGTCATGCACCATGCACAGAAGAGGACACAACGACGTCACACAGCAAGCATGTTCAGTGTTTGCTGAAGTAAACATGGGCGGTAACGGTGGAGAGTATCTTGCGATTTTAAGTTGTTGTCCATCCGGAGCCAGCACATTTATAGCGTAATTGTGTTAAGGAGAAGATTAAAAAGGAAGAGAGCCAGGTTTTTGGCCATGACGTTTTTTGTCCTGAACAGGGCTGCCCCCCCTAAATATTAATTAACTCAGAAACCTCGTTTTCCCTCCTTTGATTGGACTCCACATTATCGTCCACCATGATTGTTGATATTCCCGCTGCTGCCTACTTGAAGGCAGAATAGTGACGTTTGTCGTGTATCAATGACGTGTAGGTCGGATAAATGATTTAGGACCACATATCCAAGTGGCCTGAGTCACATTTGAACAAATGGGATCTGTGTTGTTCAGCCTGTCATGAAAAGATCAGATACATGTTGCATAGAGGCAAAAAAAATTGGATTTGGGTCACTTTAGCCTGCTGTCTGAGTGTAACTTAAGTCACTTCTGTCCTCCTGGTTGTGATAAGAATCTTTTTTTTTTACACAAACTTGCTTGAAGAAACATTTCATTTTCAGCAAAATCTTAAATGCAGAATAAAAGGATTTTAAAGAAAAATAAAACCTTAAGGCTGGATTTGACTAAGTTTCCCGACCAATCAGAACGTCACATTAGATTAAGTTGAAAATCCAATAATTCTTTCTCTGTTTAAATTTTATGACTCTGACAAATAGAGTAATGTTGGCGTTGTCTTCCCCTCATTTAAAGAAAATATGCAGGATTTGGGGATTCAGAGAGTTGACATAAATCACAGCCTGTATGGATTATTGTATTTCATTTCAGTCAGTGAACGGGGCATGATCACGGTACTGTTGCTATGGTTGCAGAAAAAGTTTGATATTTTCCCAAATTCTGCATTAAACATGTACATATTTACGTAGGCGGTTATACATTAACCAAGAAGATCTTCAGTTTGAAAACCGCAGCAGTCATCGTTGGTATAACACAAACAAGTCGTGTAGATCTGGTCCCCACCCGGTGTTTTGTCATCATAACCTTTGAAAATACATTTGTGTGGCGATATATTTAGCCGACGTCCTGAAGGTGATCTACAGTCAGGTGAAGGCTCTCGCTGTGATCTCAGCCTCTCCCATTATGCAGGACCCGCAGCTGAATACAAATTCCGCCTCTGATTATTAATTTAAAAGCGGAGGTGTAACTGCATCCGCATTTAGCAGATTACACCGATGCTGTTTTATGTCAGGAGTCGACCAACCTCAAAGGGCCAACGTAGACGCTGGGGGAAGGGGAAAAAAATCAAACTTTAACATGCAGACGGCAGCAGAGGATACCTGGGTAGATCAATGGAGATGCTATTACTTGGCTGGTCTGCTGTGGTTGAGGATGAGGTGGGGGGGGGATGAAGCTCAGGGGGAGGGATGTCGGGAGTAAAGAGATGAAGAGTGTTCCTGCTGAGGGACGAGGTAATGAGGAGACAGCTATCGTCTGCTCTGTTCCGTGTAGATAAAAGAAGCGAATATAAATGTGTGTTGTCTTACACGTGTTTGTGTCGGGGTAAAGGGTTTGTTCTGTGTGAAGGAGAATCGGTAACCTTGGAGTGACGGTGAGGGTGAGTTATTCAGAGGGACTGACAGAAGCGGCATCAAGGGAGGATGACGGTCCTGATCTGCAGGACGACGTGCTTCTTCTCTGGACGCCGGTTTGAGAAGCGCATGCACATAGTCGCCGGTTGTCTTTAATGTGACAGGTGGAAGGAGGTCAGTGAGAGGGGAAGGAGTCGGAGCGAGAAGGGAAAAAAACAAAACAAGTGCTTTTGAAGCGAGTGTCGGCCCTTGAACCTTCAGCACAGCGACGGATCTCCCTGATAGGCAGCTAACGCAGACTGACAGATGAAGCCTGCTTCACCTTGTTAATTTTTCATTTAGCAATCATCCAGCTCTGGAGTGGCTCTAAATTATTTCCATTGCCCTTCACTGACACATCCTGGACGTGGCTGAAAGATTGATGCATGTGTAGTCGTTTTTTCACGCAGAAAATGAGAAAGCAAAGGATGGAAATATTCCTTTGTTATGATATGCAAACATTCATGCATTATTTCAAGACTGTTTCCTCCCACTAGTGTGTTTGTAGTGTTTTATTAACAAGTTCAACTGAGCATAAACTGCATAGCCTTTATGGCTGCTGTTTTAATAACTGTCCTGCTTTTACTGCTGTTCATGTTGGATTTTATTTACACTGAAGCGCCTGCAGCGGCGGCTTACGGCCATTTTGGCAGCAGTTTTCACTATTGTAGTCATCAAAAACCTCCCAACTCCTCCGCTTGCAGTAACTACTGAGGGGTAAGGGGGAATGTTTTTCCTTTTTAGCTTCTTACATTTAAGGTTTGCATGCGATGACATGAACGTAGTAACAGACAGTGGTGATTTATGGGTCGGTTCAACAAACTTAGAAGACAAGAAAGAAGTGCTGATATTGATGACTAGAGTACACAAATAAAACCTGCTGATAGATAGAGGAGTACAAGTATGAAGTAGCATAAAATGATCAAATCAGATTTATTGCCATTTTGCTGTACATACACAGTAGTACAGGCAAGATGAGAGCGTTTCTTCAGGATCATTTAAGTTTTGCGGAATGCACGTCTGGATCACTGTCGCTTTCTCCTGAAGGGGGCGCTGTGTCCATGTGCGCTGCCATTCATTGAACATGGTGAACCTCCTCTGGTAGGTCTTCAGGGTCACAAAGACACACAGGATGATGTGACGATGGTGAAGCCACAGATGCTGCCCAGAGCTAGCTGTCTGTCTGTCTGCATCTCCTCCAGCTGTATGTCCGTCTGGGATGTTGTCATGGAGCCATGTTTCTGTTAAAGCAAACACACAGCAGTCTTTCTACTCTCTGCGGGTTTCTCTCAGCAAACGTAGCTCGTCCAGCTTGTTGTGGAGGGAGCGGACATTGGAGAGTAGGAGGACGGTCCTGCTGGTCTGGAGGGGTTAGCCTTTAACCTAGCATGGATCCCGGCTCTCTTCCTCCTCTTTTGCTTACATTCGTATCGTTTGCGCTTCCTTCTCTCTCGGGTAACTGCCGGCATCGTCTCCGATTTGACTCCGTGTTGGTGTAGAACGTCCAAATCACAACCAATCGCCGCAATCCCAGCGCCGTCACTGTCCTGACGCCCAGCAAAGTCTCCCAGCCGGAAGTTTTGCGGAATGAACATCTGGGATAGACGAGACACTCAAAACGTTCACTTTTGTTGTCTCCTGAAGGGGCCGCTGCGTCTATGCACATCACCATCACCATGGCAACCATATATGCCATATATAAGTGTCTTAAATTTGTGCTTTAATTGAGCAACATATACTGCATGTGTTGGGATAAAGTTTCAACTCAAGCATGAGTAATATGTTTGATTTGTTTCAGCAAAGGAAAGTAACGAAGTATATTTAGTCAAGAGCTGCATTTAAGTAAACTTTTGACACATAAAATGCAATAAAATAGTATTTCCATTCCAATGCATTTATCTATTAGCTTTAGTTACTTTTAAGATGAATATTTCACACAATATGTAGTATAATAAGCTTTCAAACCACAACACATAGTTGAAGATTAACCCCAAGCAGTTTCTGAGGGTTGTGTTTTTTTTGTTGTTTTTTTTTTCTTCTGTCACATTTTTATGACTGTAGCCTCATTTCCCCTGTAATATAGAGTGCTGTGCCTCTTTGGAAACAGTACAACCATGAGTAGAAGTAAGAGAACTCAAAAATGTTGGTTATTTATTTCACAAAAAAGAAGAAATATAATCAGCATGTACAACAGGTTTCCGAGTGCCCAAATGTGTTACCAATACTGGGGGAAATGTCTCTGCATGCCACAGATCTGTTACTTAAACTTTAAAATGTGGTTCCTTAGTTGTCTCCTACAGCCTGCAGTTCAGCTGAGTCCGTGAATCTTTTGTCACATGGCTGTTTTTCACTGCTGAGGCACCCCGGCTCCTTTTTAGTTTGTTTATTTAGTTTTTTTTTACAGAATATATATAAATAGTACTTTTTTTTGTGGCAAATTTAAAAACATGACAGAACTGTACATCACACAAGATGAGTTCAAGAACAGTTCGGAAGTTGAAAATCTAATAATTTTTTCAACTTTTTTACTGTTTCAGGCTCTGATAAATAGTGTAGTTCTAGTTTTTTTTTGGTTTGTTTTTAAAGATAACATGACTTTTAAACCTGCCAGCTGATTTTTGGGGCTTCAGAGGGTTAAATAAGTGGTTTCCAACCTTTTTGACATCTTACAGAAACCACTGTGTAACCTGCATCAGCTCTCAGATGTCTTTGAGTTAACAGCTCCACCAAATAGTGGTTTTTCCCTCAAAACTTATAACAAGGATTTCTCACCTTTTCTTTTTGCATCACAACTTCTTTCTTCCTTTGCCTTCCATTAATCATCTGACAGCTTTATCTGCCGTCCCTGAATGTAGAACTGCACATAAAGCAGCCTGCAGCCGTAGCATGCAGTAACATGCTGCTGACACACTGAGGCTTCGCTATTAATAATATAAGGATGCCATATGTTAAAATACATCAGTCAGAGGGACCAAACCAGGGTTCTAACATTAATACTTCAGCTAAGTTGTGCTGCTAATACTTATGTGGGGTTTTTCACGCAGGACTTTTACTTCTAATGGAGGAGTCTTTACGGCACTTTAACTGAATGTCACTCCCTGTGTTTTGTGTGTGTGACCTTTAAAACCACTTAAGTAATATGAAGGTTAATGGAATTAAGTTAGTCGTGCTCACAGCAGTGCGGCGTTGCAAATCAACAGGTCTTGCCAGAGGCCAAAACAAAAAAAGAAAAACATTCCTGGTTCTCTGATTAACTCAAAAACGTCACCGTGAAAAAAAAAAAAAAAAAAAAACATTCCTGGTTCTCTGATTAACTCAAAAACGTCACCGTGAACAACACCGAGGTGGAAATTTAGAAGTGTTGAAGTCATATTTTCTGGTGAGACGCATTATAAAAAGTTTTTATGTTTTTTTGTTTGTTGCTGTTGTTGTATGTTGTTTGTTTGTTTGTTTACCTTTTTGGGGCTATCTTGAACATTGTTTATCATAACAATCAACTTGTATAATTATGGCTAGGATCCCCATGTTTTTGTTTGTTTGTTTGTTTGTTTTGGTATTTGTAGTTGTAAAGTTGTACTTTCTTTAGTGTGGTGCTGTTTGTATTGTTTACTGTTTAGCTTACTCTTTCTTTGTTTGTTTGTTTTACTTGGTGCTTGTTTGTTTGTCTCATGATGTTCTGTGTTTTTTTATATATATTTGGGACTTGTGTGGGGTTTTGCAGCACATTGCTGCCACCGGTTAATCGTCTGTAATCTCATTTCTTGGGGGAAAAAAATTTGTGAACAGAAAAGACAAATAAAGGAAAAGAAAATACAATAAACAATAAAAAGAAAAAGAAGAAAAGAGATGAGGAAAAAAAAGCCCTCACTGGGGTGGTGGGAGCTGGGTTTAAAAAAAAAAAAAAAAGTTTTTATGTCATTTCTGATTGCTTAGAAACATCTATTCTCCTCCATTATCCCGGAGAGGCAGCAGATGTTTTAGAGGCAAATACCTCAAAACCTGGACGACCTAAAAGTAGTTAAAAGTAAAAGATAATTTAGTTAAATCTCAGATAGCTCTTCCAGGTCGTATTAAAAAAAAAAGACAGTCCATTTTAAAGTTTCCCAGTCCTAAAATAAAAGAATAACAGGTGTCTTAATGTTGCGAGACTGTGAAATGAGCACAGTAATGGGAGCCACGGTTGCATGGTGTACCGTCTGTGGGACAGCTGAGGCATTTCGCAATAAAGGAGAGCTAAATTCTTAAAGTCTGTCTTTTACGAGCGGCCGGCATGCTGGTATTAAAATCAGCGGTGTGATTTAGTGGGTCCTGTTCCCTGCTCAGGTGAATCATTGATCAGCGGCGGCAGACAGAGAGGCCCAATTAGGTCGGTCCTCACAGATGGATAGTTGAAGATGGGCAGCTGCTCCTGATGCAGCAGAGACACAGGAGGGAAGACGGAGAATGAAGAGATCACTTTTATAATAACCACAGCATTGGTGTTTCAAACTGTGTTCAGGACTAGAACATGTTATTTAGTGGCGATTACTTCTAACGTGTTAATCTCACCTGTTGTAAACTGAACCTCTCCGGTATTCCCCTCATTCATCTACCTCACGCCGAGAACCAGGGGAGCCGTAAAAACCTAATCAGATTACTAATGCAAGTGTCAAAGCAATTTCTCCAGTGGAGTTTGGAGTGATTCTCAGTCACTCGTTCTTTGTCGCCATCCAAAAATCAAAGCAGGGGGAAGAGCCAAAGCCTTGAGCTCCTGAACTGAAATTTATTAGAGTGCTAATGTGTGTAACTCCCAAAAGGAAACGTGGTATCTGAAGTGGAAGCGAGACTGATTTGTCAAGGCCCACTTGAATGCACCATGGGAAGCCAGAGCATGACAGGAAATCTGAAAACTGCTTTCCATCTGGTTCACTCTTAATCTGGATAATGTGTCTATTTTCCTGCTTTCAAAACCCAAACTTGTGCTACTTTATTTGATAACTTGACGACTATAAAGCAGTTCAAGATGTGAAGAACCACAAATATCCGATGGTGAAACAAAGTCAGAATTCTGTAGCTGTTTTGTAAAACAGAGAAACTGTCCAACATTAATCTTCAGTTTTACCGACCGAGAGTTACCAGTGGAAAAAAAAACGTACTAAAAGCTTGAACATCCATGTGATGAGTTCTGTGTTCTGGACAAAAACATATGTGAGTCATCACATGAAACAATCTGACCTGCAGTGTGGATGTTCCCAACAACATTTATTACATGACGACCTCATGGTTACATTTGCGGCGTTGCATCAGACACACAAACCATGAGGTAGTAATTAAATAAATGTTCTCCAAAGCAGCTATACTTGAGTGCTGTTGTAGAGTTTTTTTTACAGTCTTAACGAAGACCTTAACTAAGAAGGACTTTTGTCTTCTCTGTGAATTTTACTGTGTGTATAACTGTTGTCATCGCTTTCATTTTTATCAATGTTTTTATATTGGATTCACTCCACATAATAGTCTTTCATGTATTAAATGAAAACGCTCTTAGGGAGATGCATCCACTTACTTTTGTTCCCAGGACTTCCAAAAATTATACTCAGGAACCATAATGCAGCCTGACAGAATGCAACAAACTGTTAGTGTCCAGATGTGCAAAGCTGATGTTGGCACATTGGTGCAGGTTCAATAATTGTGGCTAAAGGTGCATCAACTAAATACTTAATACTTCCATCCATCCATCCATCCATCCATTATCTATACACCGCTTAATCCTCACTAGGGTCGCGGGGGGCTGGAGTCTATCTCAGAATGGATTGGATGTCCTTTTCTTAAATTGCTGGCTCCCTGCTATGCTGTTTGCATACCGATATTTGAATATTTGTTGGATTACAAAAAAAACCTAACAAAAAAACTCTAAGTGTACTAAAATACAACATCTCATGAACTCTAAAAGACATCCATCTATCCATTATCTACACACCGCTTAATCCTCACTAGGGTCATGGGGGGCTGGAGTCTATCCCAGCCCACACAGGGTGAAGGCAGGAGACACCCTGGACAGGTCACCAGTCTATCACAGGGCTACACTTAGAGACAGACAACCAAGCACACTCACATTCACACCTACGGACAATTTAGAATCACCAATTCACCTCAACATGTTTTTGGACCGTAGCCCTGCAATAGACTGGTGACCTGTCCAGGGTGTCCCCTGCCTTGACCCTAAGTCAGCTGGGATAGACTCCAGCCCCCCACGACCCTAGTGAGGATTAAGCGGTGTATAGATAATGGATGAATGTTTTTGGACCTTGTGGGAGGAAGCCGGAGAACCCAGAGAGAACCCACGCTGCATGGGGAGAACATGCCGCCACCGGGATCCTATCTTTTATATTTTTAAGTAAATGATGACAAATTACTTCATAAAATCTGTTTTCAGGGTCTTTTTTATAAATATTTGTCAAAAAGTGGCCATGATTTAGTGCTGAAAAGCATTAAATGGATTAAACTTCCAAGAGGGCAAAATACTTTTTATAGGCAGCATATATCCTCAGTTACAGTCCCTGTGATTTGCAAGTTGCATTGTTTTGAACTGACATGTCAATTTAATTGTTCAACCCTATTATGATTGTTAGGTAAATGAGGTATGATAATATAAATACTGGGAATGTAGGACACAGCTTATCAGGCGCTATCAGGTCTGTCCAACAACATTTGTAAATTTTACCAGCTCCTGTAAAACTCACTGATTTATATGTGACAGTTTATGTCATTCACGCTCCTGAAAATACCGTCAATAACCGTTATAGAGCCACTACTGTCATTTTCACACTGAGAAAACTTCCTCTTTGGCAGCAATTTAATTCACTGTTCTGTGATTTATTCCTAATTTTCTGGGTAGTTTCACTGAGAGATGATTCAAAATTGGTACCAAGTGTTTGGAAAATAAATACAAAGCTCTGAGATGGGTATTTTGCATAAATTAAGATTTCTTTCTGAAAATAACCCACAAGTAAGAAAAGTTAAATCATGTAGCCGCATCCCCACATCCAGGCTGATCGTGTGCTTCAGGCCAGTTTAAACAGCTCTTTCTTTTCCTCTTTGGTCACCTTCTCCTCCACTCACTCGTCTCTCTCTCTTCCCTCTCCCTCAGCGTCTGTCCAACGGCTCTCTGGAGTCGGCCCACGAGGCGAGCCAGGTGGTGGAGCTCCAGGACCTGCTGGAGAAGCAGAACTATGAGCTGGCCCAGATGAAGGAGCGCATGTCCTCGCTCTCCTCCCGGGTGTCCGAGGTGGAACAGGAGCTGGAGACCGCCCGCAAGGACCTCATCAAGTCAGAGGAGATGAACAACAAGTACCAGAGGGACATCAAAGAGGTTACATACACTCTCTCTCCGAGGACACGGCGAGGCTTGCGCATGCACATTTTGCGAGGGGAATAACAGTTGCAAGAGAGACATCAAAGAAGGCTAGCGGTGGCCTAAAAAAAGCTTTTATTTGCATACTCCCTCACACTGGCTCCTTCTGTATGATTGTATGAGTCTCAGATAAATATAGGCACTGCTTTGTTATGATCCCTCTCACATCGTAGCAATCCTATAAATATACCATATATGCAAACTGACAGGTTATAGAAACACTTCTCAAGGACACAAACTAGAAAAAAACAGCTGTTTCTGCATCTACCACCAGTTGCTTCTTGAGCTGCTTTACTGTAAAGCGCAAAACCAGCCGTTAAAAAGCCGCTTTCCGCTAGAAATGAGAATGTGGTGTTATAAACCAGCAGCTAAGGGCCCAATCGTAGTTCCATGCAATATCCAGTCCTTCTGTGTGAGGTGAATTTCAGTGAAGTGCACTTGATGTGACTATAAGCTGATGCCCCCACGGCCCCTCGGCTGAAATTACTATTGATTGCTAACAATGTAGGCAGAGGCAGTTATTGTGGCCTGGCAAACACGGCCTTATCGGGCCGAGCGCGTGTTATTACCCAGCACTTCGTCCTCTGAGAGCGGCAGTTTATTCAGCTTTCTTAGAATAACTATTGTATTTTGTGTGGTTTTGAAACAATGTGTGTGGTGTCAGAAGCAATTCTCCACGCAGGAAATTAACTCTCAGAAATTCAATGATAATGCCGCCGTCATGTGGAAGGAGGGGGGGGCTTGTTTCATGGCAGCAGCGTGAGATAGAAGATCACAGCTACAGTACGTTATGAAGCTATATTGTCTGTGTAGATTATACTGCAGTGGAGCTTTAGAACTGTAGATGTGACGAAGTGTGTTGCAGCTTTAGCATCAACATTAAAGAGGTTCATTCCTAATAAACTGCCTCACATTCGTATTTCAGTGAGCACTGTTACGAGAACATGTTGTAAAAGAAATTTCTGAATGGATTAGAGTTGCTGTTATTCATGTTTGATAATGAAACAGAGCAATAGGAATCCTGTGCAGATACTAAACTGCAGAATTCATGTGTGCAAAGTATTTGTGTGAGTTTACAAACTGGAGGCAGAGCTGCAGGCGGTTTCACTTTAAGTTAAGCTAAGCAGCAATTACTTTTTCCCCTGTTTGTGTACACATCCAGAAGTTTATAGAGCACCCTCATCTGGTTTGTTGTGCACATCTCAGCATGGTCTGACTTTTGCTGTTTTTCTGCGTCCAGGCCATGTGTCAGAAGGAGGACATGGAGGAACGGATCGTCACGCTGGAGAAACGCTACCTGAGCGCCCAGCGGGAGTCCACCTCCGTGCACGACATCAACGACAAACTGGAGAACGAGTTGGCCAATAAGGAGGCGTTCCTCCGACAGGTCTGTAGAGTCGTACGACATCCACGTGACTGGCAGTCGACTGTGTTTTCTACTTCTGCGGTTTGCTCCAGAACTTTTTCGGGTCCAGGTGGCAGCTGAAACGGACCATTCATGGCTGCATCATCACTCATATTTTTCAACAATCTAAATGGATTCAGTGAAGAATGAACCATGAATGCAGCTGGTTGTGTAAGATGGATCCTGTCAGCTAACAGAACCTTTTGAGCTCTTCCACAGAGGTTTGGCAGTGAGACAACCTCTTGACATTGTGTCGGATAATGTCAGAGGAAATTGCTACTAGGGGAAGGAATTTTGATGTTTTTTTTTTTTTACTTAAATGTTTGGTTTGAGCAGATGCACGTGGCTCAAAGTCATCTCCCTAATAGACATAATGCCGTACAATGCGATCAAACGATGGTACATTCTCCTTCTGATGATTCTTTGTGATTCACTGCAGCCAATTACATAAATTGCCTGGCCATAGAAGACTGAGTGACGTTTTCATGAGTACAGGCTTAAGCACCAGCTGAGCTCTGGAAGGAAAAGAATATCAAACTAATATAAGCAGAAGTAATCGCGGAGACGCCACGAGGCACACAAGCACTGTTTGGGTTTGCTGCGTATGAGGTGGTTTAGACCAGGCAATTTCACAGTTAAAGCTCCCGTATTGTGCCGCCTTTCAGCAAACTAATGAGAGTCTCACATGTCAACAGAATGAGTATTTCAATTTTTCAGCTCAAAATACTGCAAAGATGCTTCATTTTACCATGACCGCTGTTAATCCTGTTCTAAACGGGCTGTTCAGATGTCTATGCTACTGACCTGGAGCTGTCCACGACTCCTTCAGGAAGAAGACTCGCTCTGCGGTTATAAATGACAGTGCAGAGAAAAACAGTTGACCGCTAGGCAGCAGAATGAGTGCGTTTGACCAAGACTTTCTATGAATTCAACTTTCAATCATTTTACATGGAAATATCACTTAGATCGCAGCTCAGCCATTGTTTTTTAACTCACATGTATTGTGAGTTTGTTGGGTGTTGTGGTCACAAACTACGGTGGTGACTGCTGGTTAACATGTCGTCTCAATGGAAAGTCACTATTTTATACTCGCTCTGTTGTCTGACAACAGAAACAGAAAGACATATAAATGAGAGCAGCTTTGTTGGAAATGTGCATGTATTAAACAGTCTTAAAGTTTCCTGGATGACCCTCAGCATTGCAATTTCGGCAAGTTCTGACCTGCGGGCATAAGGTCAAAGCTATTGGTAATGCTGGCCCCATTAGCCACACAACATGCTAACACTAAGGATTTTCCCATTGCTGTGCTGATATTGCGATTAATAAAAGTGAGCTGGATCTTCAGTTTTTCAAATGCTTGGAGTGCATGAAGACTCCTGTGTTCACTCTTGCAGTCGATAGCAAAGCATTTGTTGTGCTTCGCTTGTGGCTGGGATGTTCTGGTGTTAACAGAAGGAGGCCTAGAGAGGAAACCCAGTGACCTGAGAGGCAAGCTGCTACTCTGGCATGGCTCACCTCACCAATGAGGTGGCAACGCCTGAGCTAGACATCTATTGGTTTTATTATTCTAGCACCTCAGTAAAATTCCTATTGACTTGTAAGGCTGGAACTAGTCATGTAGGGGAATGGCAGAATGAAATGTGTTTACATCTTCTACTTTACTTTACAACACACAAAAACATCATTAAAAACACACTAACAAGATAACCCCTTTGATCTAGAAAATAAATGCATCAAGGAACCCCCTAAACAAGCTCTGAAGCTTTTGGGTTTGAGCTCCTGGTACCGCACACAAGCACGCTTGTTCGCTGGCTGTGCGGTGAGTTCACTTGCTGTCGTGCCAGCAGCTGAACCCCGGGATCAGGCCGCCGATGTTTGAAGATGAGTTGTTCAGGGGGTGTTGGCTTGGCCTTTGCTATGGAGGAATGACGGGATGAGAAGACATGGCAAGCAAAATGGCAACAAAAAAAGATGGATGGAAGGGCATCTAGGGAAGATTTCACAAACAAAAACAAACTGTCAAGCTTCCCCAGTGTCATCCCAAACACCAGTGGGATGGTGATGCGGCTTCAGACAGAAAATATCACTGACATACACAACACAACGCAGCCTTGCCCCACTCCAGTCTAATTATTGCATATTGAGCTGCCAGGCCCGATGCTTTGGGGAGTAGAGCATCTGTCGCTAATGGCAAAGGCTGCCAAGCCAGCTCCAAAAAAAAAAAAGAAAGAAAGAAAAAAAGGTCTTAAAATTGATCAGAGCCTCGAGCAAGGCAGGGGGAAAAGTCTTAACATGCAACAGGGAAATATAAGTCACTTGTTGGCGGTTTCACTGAATGTTAGGTTTCATTTCCTTCTTTATGATGGCAAGTACGGTATGTGAATGCTTAATCAGGGCAATTACCAGTATCTGCTGAGTAAAAGTTGCCACTGTCACTCCTGGCAAGTGCAGAGCTGCTGCTATTCTGACTCTGTTATGGTGCTATTTTAAAGACGAGCTGAGGCACGCTGCCAGAGCCCTCAGTAGCCAGTCCTCCTACGAAAGACAAATATCTGTGATGCTATTTTTTAACAGGCAATGATGCACAGCTGACATTACAGGGAGACGAAGGAAGAGATCTATCTTTACAGAAGACATTTGTGGTTTTGTCAGAGGCGGGCACAACACAAATACTGTAAATACTCTGATTTGCTGCACAGAAAGCCTCGAACTGAAGGGACTATTTGAAATAGGTTAGGATTTGAAACAATTTGGCATGCGACACCTCCTCCGTGTTTGGATAAATCAGTGACGATGTACATTCCCTCAGCACTGAGCACAACATTTTCTTAGTAAAAAGCCATGTTTTAATAGAATTAATTCATTTAGTCTGATGTGTGATAATTATTCAGTCTTTTAGAATTAATCTTTATGCAAATGTTTCACATTGGCTCAAGGTGCATAAGCTGCATACCAAGTGTTTGCTACATGAATCCTCACAGGGTTTAAATTGCGGAATAATTATTGTATTAACTAATTAAGTCGGCATTGTCATTTCAAAGTTAGCAATTAGCTTGTGTTGATTAAAGTCATCTATCTTTTACTCATCGCATAAAAAAAAGAATATCGTTTGTTCTTTTTTGTACAAAGTGCCAAAACATCAGAGTGTTAATCATAAAGTTTCAAGACTGTTTGTGAGACAAAGTTGGTGCGTATTTGCGATTTCTCAATCGAAGAAAACATCATGTGAGTGTCAGTCAGCAGCAGGGATGATCCAACTGTTGGGGGTCTGTGGCCACCACCAACAGAAGACACAGTAGTTTTTACATGAAGAAGTTGGTGGTCGTTTTTTTCTCAGCATTTGTGTGGATGTGCACCAAGAATAAGTCCCCCAGGAAATACAGATCTTCTGCAACATCCTGAGATGTTTGAGGGAGGATATTTGGTGCAAACAACTTTCACTATGATGGACTGGTATGTGGGTGCTCTAATGGGTCTTGGATAGAATCACAGTGCGTTTTTGGCCACAACAACACAATTTTCGCTCAACTACCCGCCCTGTTCAACAGATTTGGTTGCCTGTGACTTCTTCGTCTTTACATTTAAGTTAAAGGATTGTGATTTTGACACAGTTGAGGAGATCGTACTTGTCAAGTCTACATAACAGAACTTCTAGAGAGCAAGTGTTGCACTGGGAGCAGTGTAACGCTGCACAAGGAGACTGCTTTGGTTTTTGAATTTTAAAGGAACAATCCTCACTTTTTTTATTAGGCCTGATGTTTGAAAGATCTGCCAGCAGTTTTGAGTTAATGACAGCAACTAAACACTGAACAAAGCTAGTCAATGAATCCTCTGAATGGCTATCAACTAATGTTGTCTGTGTTTGTGTGCAGATGGAGGAGAAGAACAGGCAGCTACAGGAGAGGCTGGAGCTCGCAGAGCAGAAGCTCCAGCAGACCATGAGGAAGGCCGAGACGCTGCCAGAGGTGGAGGCCGAACTGGCCCAGAGGATAGCGGCCCTCACCAAGGTAAGAACACGCACGTCTGTCCGTACATGAACACACACACACACAGTTAACACATTCCCACAGATGGCCTCATTTCTAGATGTTTCTGTACCTTTGTGTAAGTGTCCATGTGGTGTCATGTCATGACGTTTCAACATGTCCCTCTCCTCTTCCTCGGCCACATAGTCTGACTCCAGCTCCTCTTCCTCCCCTGATGATTATCACTTTGTTATGGAAGCTAAACTCCAAGACATGAACTCCATTCTTAGGAAGGTAGTCCCACAGGGCATCACAGCTACTGCCAACTCCTGTAGAGAACAGATTTCATTCATTTATCTTATTAGTGTTTTGTGGCGAGCGTGTTTACTGGGATTCTGCTCTGGCTGTTCTACCACTATGGGACAGCTGCATGGCACTTCTGGCTGGAGCTCATACTTGGCAGTGCTGGAGCAGCTCTCTCTTCCTCTTTCATTCTGTCCTTTGGTGGCCTTGTTCTCCATCTTTCTCCTCGTCACCCCTTTGTTTCGATCAGCTCTCTTTCCAGTTATGCTTTAACAACAATAGATATCCATCTTTGAGTTTGGGGTAGAGGCTTTGGCTTGTGTTGTTGCCACTGCTTTTCGTTTGTTGGGCCTTGGGCTGTCAAACACACAGATAATCGTGGCCTTTTTTTCTTTTTCCTTTTTTTTCTTCCCTGTTCGTTTCTGTCATGTCTATGCTGTGATCCAACTGTAGGCGGAAGAGCGTCACGGGAGCATTGAGGAGCGAATGAGGCACTTGGAATGCCAGCTGGAGGAGAAGAACCAGGAGCTGCTGAGGGTGAGTCACTGCGGAGGCGTTGTGCCAGGCAGCGTTAACCAGGCAGCCACTCCTGCATGAGCATGACAGCTTGAGGCGACTGCAAGTGATGGCATTGTCTGATTTATGGCCAATGAAGCTTGACCCGATGAGCGTTTTCGCACACTCCGCTGACAGAACGGTTTGTAAAATGTTCACAAACGATGCGGCCGCGTACGGCTCGTTTTCGATTATGTGAAGCGTCGTCACACTTTGCTCGATTCCCCGTTTGAGAGAGAAGAGCATACTGTATGAAAACAGAAATGTAACCTTGCGAAAGAGCCTTTTACAAATTGGAGGCATGCAGTAGTTAGAAATGAAGAGTTATACAAAAAAATGCAGTGTAAAAACATGAAGAAAACAAATCGTGATGTGCAGAAATAACATCATTAGGATGATTATACTTGTTTACTGTCGGATGGAGGGTTTAATAGGTGAACATCCACGTCTCAGTAGAAACTCAAGCGATTCCCTGATAGATAATAGGTCTCAGCTTTTGAGTTTTGTTTTTGCTGATGAGTAAAAAATGTCAATGCAAGAAATAATTGCGTGTTTTACTCATGAAGGGAGTTGTTATCCTATTTTTCTGACCTTTAATGACCTTTTTCAGACACGAGCCTCTTTTGCAACCTGCTGCTTGGGGTTTATTTGCATAATAGCATAATTAGCGATACGCTACACTGATTAGCAGACAGTGCTGCTGCTGCTGTGTTCATATCTAGAAGGATGCAAACCTGATTTTAACCCAGAGTTAGAAACCTTACACGGGGCAAAACTATATTTTGATTTGTTTGAGGTCGTGCAGTGAATTATTCGCTTTGATCACATCAGAAGCTTCCTAAAACGGTTACCGTTACTACTTGTGAGGTTTAAGGGGTTTGGTGCTTCATTTTTAAGTTGGTAGATCTTTTTTTTTCTTTCTTCCAGGCTCGACAGAGAGAAAAGATGAATGAAGAGCACAATAAGCGACTCTCGGACACGGTGGACAGACTCCTCACAGAGTCCAACGAACGTCTTCAGCTCCACCTGAAGGAGAGGATGGCAGCTCTAGAAGAAAAGGTGAAAGCTGCAGAGGAAATGGAAACCTAGAAATGTCCAGTGGAGGTCAGGAGGACATGGAGTTTCCTCATCTTTTCTTCTTGTTTTTGCAGAACTTGTTAATCCAAGACTCCGAGGGTTACAGAAAACAGTACGAGGAGTCGATCCAAGAAAAAGTAGGTTCCAGACCAAGAGAAATGATCACCTCTGTTTTTTGTAGAGCTACTTACATTTCACGAGGTTGCCTTAATAGTGAAGTTTTTAATAGAGAAACAGTGAGGTTGATTGCTGGCATTATTTTCATTTTTTTTTTATGAAGTTCTGCTGTTGATTATTCATAAACTCCCGCAAGGGATGAGGATAACGAGATGAATCTCATAAGCAGTATGGAAAACAGTGGAAATTATCAGTTAATATTCAGCAAGATGGATTCAATAAGCTGCACTGGCTTTCAGTCACATCGCTCCACAGAACTGATGTGCACCGGTATGGCTCGGGGTGGGAGACACCGGGATTCATCATTCTTTAAGATTAACGCTGTTTTCGATTTGTTTCGTCCAGTCGCAGCTGGCAGACGAGATTGAGAAGCTAAGATCAGAGCTCGACCAATTCAGACTGAGGGCAGGCTCCCTCACAGAACCCACCCTGTCACGGTAGGTTGCTTGGTTGTGTGTTTTCACTTGCAATATATAGCCAATCCATATACTGTATGAAGCTAGACCGCGAGGTAGAGTTACGCCAAGGACTGCAGTTGAATAGCTGGAAATATTGTGCCTTTTTGTATGCTCTTGTCTTTGACCTTGATGGTTCACATCATGAGGTCAAGGAAAGATGTGAAAGAGAGTTCATGCAGACTTGGAAAAAGACAACCACAGTGCTACGCCGAGCAACTGCACTCACTCTAGTCTATGTAGTTATCCAACAGAGGATGTTTATGTGGATGGAGTGCTGCTTTGAATGCTGCTACAAACTGTGGTGTAGAAATGTTGGAAAAGAAGAGCCAGCACATCTTATGCTATAGGAGACAAGAAAGAGAGCATTGAAGCACATTTTCTTTGCATAGGTTTAGGGTGAGTGGAATTCGACCAGCTCTTATTATGACCGCCTTATAAGCCCATTTCAGACATGCTGGCTACATCATTCTGGGATTCAGATTTTGGTTTCCATTGATGGTCCTCGTGCCTTCATTTACTTATGACAGAGCTGTAGGACACACAAAAAATTTCCATTAACATGAAATTGGACAGTCCATTAAGTGATTTACAAAACATAGGGATAAAATGATATGCAGGAAAAATAAATCTAATGAGCTGCAGCTAATCAAACTGTCCTAATAGTCATCAGCCTGCTTTGTTTAGGATTTTGTAAACAGTAAAAATTCTGTCCATGTGATCATATTCTAATGCTTTTCGATAAAAACATAAAAATATCTCGAAAGCTAAGATGGAGCTGAGATGTATGCTATGTAACCAATGATTGAGCTGGAGCTGATGAATCTTTACTCTTTGTGTGACCGCTCACCTGTCTGAGCTGGAGGACACTGTGCTCTTGCAGCCAGATGGATCCTGTCTCCATGTCGGGGATTGTTTATGAGTATTAATGAACTTACTGATGCTGTTGTTCTGTTGGTAGATATGCATAAATGTGCACAATTCTCTTACTGTGGAGACGCTCATATCAGACCGGCTGTTATTTGATACTGTGTGTATTTACTCAGAGGAAACACTCCAACAAACAGCTGGAGGCAACAAACTAAACTCATTACTGGTCTCTGCTGTTCTCATCCCAGTAAACTTTTATTTTAGGGAGGTTTTCAATTTGTAGCCCAATAGATATGAAATTGTAGAGCAAAGTTTCTTTTTTATGATTGGGGCATGCAAACTGTGTCTGTTGTTCTCTGTGATGTTTTTAGATAAATATTAGTGCTGAAATGTGGAAACAGCCTTCCTCAAATCATGATATAATATGATGCGAGGCGGCAAATGTTACTCGGTCCCACCTATTGCAACTTTTAGCTAATTTAGGCATAAAGCCGACAAGTTCAGTTGCCAGTAGATCAACAGAAAGGAATGCATGTCTGAAAGGGGCTTTAGATACATTAGGAGCCTAAGCAAAAAACAATGCAATCAAAGTGTGCCGTTTTAGAAGTAATGTTTTTCTAGCAGGTAGTTCGCTGGTTATTGTCGATGACACAGCGGAATCAGTTTGTGCATGATTGTTTTGGAAAGGCAACAACAAAACACCCCTCAAACTCTTTAAATGCCAAGTCTTACCACAGTCCCACACACACACACGCTGCTTCACAATGTGGAGTAAACCAAAATTTGGCAGGCCTGCCATGCCTGGTTACGGTTGCTAAGGTATGATTGGCCCGTCTCTGTTCAGGGGACGGGTTTTGCAGTTGTTTAAGGCGGATTAGCACCTGTACCGATTTACTGCCGCGGGACAATCTGCAATACGTCACGCGTGATTTGGCCACTAAAATTCATAAGCAGCCTGTGCAAAGAAAATAAAGTTTTATGACAGATTTTACTGGATTTATTAGGAGAGTAAAGAGAAGGAATCTGTGTCCCTGCTGGTGACCAAGCTTGCCAGTCTAGTGCTTCTCAGAAATGGGCAGGAGACAAAGAAGATTCAGTTCAGTTCACTGGCGTTCGGGAGCACACGGACAATTAGGCAACTGCGTGAAATCAAGATGGCTCTGTGTCCAAACATTATTCATCATTTGGACACAGACTTAAACTATTTCACAGTCGAGCAGGAGAGTCAAGACAAAAAAAAAAAAAAAGCATGGATGTTTGTAACATAAAGTAGCCCTGCCATCTGTGTGCTTAAAACGCTACAGACTCGGTTATTTTGTTACTAGAAGACATAAGCTCCGCTGGAGATGTAATAAAAGGCTAGATATAGTCCCATTTAATGTGTATGGATCAGGAAGCAGAGGAGGGAATTGAGATACACTCTCTCCAGGAGTGTCATTTTATCCCTCACTGATGAAAACTGCTTGTTCTGTTACACTATTGTTAGAAACACTGGCATCACTGATCCCCTGGTATCTATTCTCGGATATTTTCTGGCTTCCGTTTCATGCAGCGTGAAGTTCTAATATTACAGTGCCGATGTGTTGACAGTAGCAGACTTAAGCTCCTCCACAGACAAAATGATCTGCAGCCATAGAGGCATGCATAACGAGCTCTGATCCCACCAGAAGTACACTTTACACCACTTCACTGTGACCGTTAGGTACGCCTATCCAAACACGAGACTTGATTGGGTTACTGTCGGCATAACTGAACATTACCGTTAGATTTTTGTTGTTTCGTCTTGTCAAATTCTGCTTCATCCCCATTTAGGAGTTGTGTTGTTGTTTTAGATATTCGTCATCTTTAATATAAAAGACTCAGAATTTGTTGAAGTGAAGCCACAGAGGAAGAGACTTTAGGTGCAATTTTACTCATAAAAGTTGTTTCTTTCAGGTCTCATCTGGACACGTCAGCCGAGCTTCGGTTCTCTTTGGGATCTCTGGCCGAAACCCAGTCGGACCACTACCGCTCAGCCAAGGTCATCCGCCGGCCGAGGAGAGGTCGAATGGGCCTGCGTGAACCCAAGGTGAGGCAGGGTCCTCGCTTCGATCTGCTTTTAGCGCTTCGATTTGTAAAACTCTTGTTTCCAAGTCCAGGAGCAGCTCATATGGTCAGTCACTTTTTGTTTCCAGTTTGAAATTTCAGCTTTAAAGCAGCTCTTTAAGTTACAGTTTGGCAAAGTCGACATAAATCTTCCAGAAGATCTAACAGCTTTGAACACTAAAAGCTTTCAGTGTCGCACTCTAATTACCGTTTTAAAAAGTTGCTAAAATCAGAAAAGCGTCTTGTCTCCATTGAGAATACTTACAAACATGTTTTGTGGTACTTTTATAAGTATTTAGGAGTATACACGGGGAGAGTAAAGGCGAGTTTATTGCATGCTCTCAGCTTTGGGCTCTATTTTTGTGAAAGCAGGTGCAAGCACACGCTAATTTTAGCAAAGTTCTGTGACCAGATAAAAGACACAATCACAGCCACAGTACATCAGGTCTAGCTCAGGTTGTGAGCATATTATAGGACAGTTTGGGCTTCAATAATGAGATCAGCTCCTCTCATCTCTCTCTCTAAAGTGGCAGACGTTCTCTTTATTACGGGCCAGGAGGGAAGAGTCCAGACAAGCTTCTCCTAAAAGCAAAATGGTTCCTCTGTAGGAGGTTTAAAGTTTTGGATTCTAAATTTAGCATATGGCATTTCAAATGTTAGTACTCTGTACAAAAAAAAAGTGGTTCCAAGGAGTGGGGGTGTCCCTTCTAAATGGAATTAAAGGTTTTAGGAGATGCCAGAATAATCCACACACATAACAGCGTGACATGACAGTCGTGACTCAGCTCTCAAGCTACTCCCTCAATAGGACATTTTCTGGTTTAGTTCAGTTTAGTCTGTTGTCTATATTATTATCCACTATTAATGAAGTCATTAATGAGGCATACAGTTAATTAACTCTAGGTACATGTAGAAGATTACCTAATCGCTATAAATATTATGTGACAACTCATAGTTCCTAATATCCATCCATCCATTATCTATACACCACTTAATCCTCACTAGGGTCATGGCGGACTGGAGTCTATCCCAGCTGACTCAGGGTGAAGGCAGGGGACACCCTGGACAGGTCACCAGTCTATCACAGGGCTACACTTAGAGACAGACAACCAAGCACACTCACATTCACACCTACAGTAAATTTAGAGTAACCTCACCATGTTTCTGTGGGAGGAAGCCAGAGAACCCACACTGCATGGGGAGAACATGGAGACTCCATGCAGAAAGATCCCAGGTGCCCCCACCGGGACGCAAACCAGCGACCTTCTTGCTTCAAGGCTGCGATGCTAACCACCGAGTCACCTGACAGCCCTGTTAAATACTTCATCCTGTATAAATTACTAAAACTAATGTTGCTCCTTTTAGTAAATTTGTACTTTAGACTGTCTTTATAGCACTAACATTACAACTCTAACTGTCTGTGAAGATTCTCAGTCATCCAGGTTAGGGTTGTTCTGGTAGATTAATCGTAGCAACTGGACTTGCTTGAGTTCCTTGAAGACGTTTCACCTCATCCAAGAGGCTTCATCAGTTCTGACTGACCAGTTGGGAGTTCCACATACTTTCATCTTAAGGATCCATTAACACCTGAGTTTCAGTTTCAGTCGGGGGTTTGTTGCTCCTCCCCGTCGTTATGTGGGTCATTAGTACTCCCCCTGCCACAATGGGGTTTGTTAGAGTCTTTTGTGGCTAGGTGTGAATGTGGCTCATCTTCCTAGGGAATTGTAAACAGGTGGGAGGTGATGCCTCAGACCTCCACCTCTGTTGAGGGATGGGCGTTCCAGTTTGACATAGATGGCTTCTTTCACCCCTCTCTCAAACCACGTTTCTTCTTCTTGTGTTATTATTGTTATTACTATCAATCTGCTATCACATTGATATACATATATATATATACACAAATACTTTGTACAAATCTATTTAATTTTCTCAAGTACTTGGATAAAAATGTTGATATAAACGAAGAAACTGTGCCCAACCCATGTGAAAAAAAGAGAAAAAAATGAAAAGAAAATGAAACTTGGATGACATACCAAAAATGTTTTCAGGTTTCTGAGGACGCCTCATGATTTTATCTAAATACGTTTAAACATATTGTTTTGTATTCATCTCTGTGTCTGTGTGCAGGCTAAATCCCTGGGGGAGCACGAGTGGCGCTCCCAGCAGCTGGGCGTCCTCGGGGGCCACCACTTTGAGAGCGATACAGAGATGTCGGACATCGACGACGACGACAGGGAAACGCTGTTCAGCTCCATGGACCTGCTGTCCCCCAGCGGCCACTCCGATGCACAAACCCTGGCCATGATGCTGCAGGAGCAGCTGGACGCCATCAACAAGGAGATTCGGTACCTGACACACGGCGCAGTATAAATTTAATACAACAGGCCAGACGTATTGATTGGCTTCTTCTGCCGCATTCTTAATCCGTTTTACTCGAGATCTGTTTACCGCTTGATACGGTTTTAAGATTATGTCCTGGAAAGATGGCCTTTTGGGATTCCTTTTTTGCAGATTGCTGTGGGGTAATATTCCTTTTCACCATTCCTTTTATAACAACATTTCTTAACTGCACCTTATTTGCTCTATTCTTAGCTCCTTGCTTGATATCAGACTTAAAATCGATATGTTTAGTATTAACTACCACACCTCATTGACTTTGATTGACTTGTATTCATGTGCTGACTACAGAAGCAGGAAAAAAATATTCCAGAGATACAACAAGAAACCCAGTTGCATGATAATCTACCCTCTAAGGACTTATGTTTTACTCATAAATATGGTGAAAACTGGCTGCTAGCTCTAACCACGTCTTCGTAAAGGAGTCTGTGCTGCTCACATGAAGGTATCAGTTGTCTGTCGGTGGCTCTTTCTGACCGTGAGCCAAACACTATTCTTGCATGCACTCGATGTTTTGGGAAATGTGATCTGCCTCTTGCTTGTTAATGCCGCAATTATCTTGTGCTGATAAGTATTCATAACCCCAGGCGCAACTTCACTTAGTTCTTTATTTCAAGGGCTGTTAAAGCACCTTGTGGTCTCTGCTAATTTACATCAGCGTCAATAGGCGCGCTGCCACATTTCTTTCAGGAAGAGTTAATTCAGATCCGATGGCATGTAGCGATCATGAATCCGAGGAGTTGAGCTCTCAGCTAATTACAAAGTTAGATCCTGGGTACGGTTAAAATTGATGACTTGACTTTTAGCCTTTTTATCTCTTACGTGTGGCCTTTAATTAGTTTGCCTGGTACTGCAGGTATTTAAGGGAGTTAGTTATGCAAATCTCCAGAAATCCACCTCCAAAGATAAGGCTGGATTCTGTAGCAGTGACACCGCTATCATGGTTGCCTTTTGAGCCTTCTAACAAATGCACAACTTAACGACAAATGTGTATTCTGGAGTCTGTCGTCATTTAACCCTCTTAACCACAGGCAATATCTGGGCCTATTCTTGTATCACGTTTTTGTTTTTCTATATTCAGTGAAATATAAAATCCTGCACCTCCATGGAAACAGCACAACAATGGCTAGAAGTAGAGAGAACTAATAAAAAAAAGTCATTTCTATAATGGAACACAGTTAAAAATGCTGTAAATCATTAAGAAACAAAAGTTCAATTGCTTTGCTTTTTGTTTTGTTTTTTAAATACAAAATCTTGTTAAAGCAACGGGTTTATTTTTGGCTAATGTTTAAATTAGACATAATGATTTTTTTTTTTCTTTAAACGAAGTAATGTCCTTAGATATCTCACCGAAAGGCAAAACAGATGAGTAGTTCAACATCCAACAACTCTCTCTGTTTTACGAGGTGTGTCAGAAGAGTTCCAGGATTGGCGTCACAAAAGATATATTTCAAACTCAAACTACAAACTACCAGTTTTCCCCTTCAGATGATCAACCAGCACGTCTACAAAGAGATCCTGTGGCGTTTGCTTCGTTCAGTGAAGAGGTGAGAGTTGTGGCAGGACGAGTCGTGGCTGCTTCACCATGACAACGTGCCTGCTCACAACGCCCTGAGCATCCCACAGTTCCTGGCTGAGAAGAACATCACCGTGCTGGAGCAACCTCCCTACTCACCCCACCTGGCTCCGTGGGATTGTTTCCTCTTCCCCAAGCTCAAGGGGGTCATCAAGGGGACCCGTTTTGAAGACGTGGACAACATCAGATGGCTGTGACGACGGAGCTGCAGAGGATCCTTGAAGAATCCTGGAGTGCATGGTGGCGTGAAACAGAAGGCTGGGACAGTGTGTTAGATTCCAGGGGGATTACTATGAGGGGAAAACTTGTTGTTTATAGTTTGGATTTGAAATATATCTTTTGTGACACCAGTCTTGAACTTTTCTGACACACCTCGTAACCATTTCTGGCTCTAAAAAATGTTTTCATGGCGATTTTGCAAAGACAACACACCTTTGGTTTTGGGATCAGCATTAAGTCGAACTGTAGATCTCTACTGCACAACATTGACAATCATATGACGGAGATAAAGAAACATACCTTCCACTGACTTCTCCTCCTCTCAGGCTGATCCAGGAAGAGAAGGAGTCCACGGAGCTGCGGGCCGAGGAGATTGAGAACCGGGTGGCCAGCGTCAGCCTCGAGGGCCTCAACCTGGCTCGAATGCACCACCACGGAGCCTCCATCACTGCCTCAGCCACCGCCTCCTCCCTGGCCTCCTCCTCCCCTCCCAGCGGACACTCCACCCCGAAACTGGACCCCCGAAGCCCCGCCCGCGACATGGAGCGCATGGGGGTCATGACACTGGTGAGATACTTTGCTGTCTGTGAGCATCTTCTGTCATAACGTCGACAAAGCCACAAAACACATTCATCGGTGGCTGTTTAAATAATTTATTGACCCTCTTTTTAGCTGTTTACCTGCTTCACAAACAAGTCATACAATGCTCCATCGATTTTTTACCTAAAAGTGGGCATTTGATTTTAGAAAAGCTGTTTCATTCCAGGTTTTGTCAATACCTTATGGCTAAAGATGAGAGTTACAAGCTGATTTTAAATGAACATTTTGGGATTTGCAACTGAGCTTCATGTTTATATTCATTGTACTGCTCCTTTTATTAGGATTAGTATGACCTCAAGTGACCTGTGCTGTTGTCAGATTGACATATAAGGCTCATTATGATTCAAGTGGAAATGTATTATTAATTTGGCTAGTAATTAATGAGAAATGATATTAAGCACGACCACCAGCATGAAACTACAGTGGATGAGGTATGTATGCAACATTTGAAGATGTGGGGGTAAAGTTTGCACATGTGCAGAACAGCAACAGCAACACAATTAAAAGCCTTTATTAGTGTAATTTTTGGTTTGATTATTGAATAATCTCAAAAGGTTGTTATTTTTATTTTTTTTTTTTAATCAGGATTTAGGTGTAGAAGTATAAAAAATTGAAACGCCGGGACACAAAATGTGTTTTTTCAGGTAAAATTGAACAAATCTGTGCCGTTAACTGATTTTTAGCATCATGAATTGTGACATTTTATAACATTGGACCACTGTATATAAAATATTATATTATAGTTGGTTGTTTTCGGTTGTTTCTTTTGTAAAGGGTCAGGGGAGCAGAAGAAATCAAAGCCATCAGCTGCTACGTTTGCACTCCCCCTGCATGTTAACCTGCAAATATAGTGAATCCATACATTTTTGAAGACCTGCTGTATTAAATTAGCGCGCACTGACAGCTGCAACAGAAACCGACCGCCTCTCTAAGCTGTCATCGCACAACCGAGGTGTCAAAGGGAGGCCCTACAGTTTCTCTTAGAATACACAATAACATGTTCTCCCTCTCTAATGGTCTCCACAGTGACCCGAGGCTTAAACACTCCAGATGTGCCTACCATTCTAAATATATTCCTTTAACGCCCCCGTAGTCCACTGCAGCAGTAGAGGGATGTAATGTGTAGATGTCTTCTTCAAATGGGGGCTTTGAAAGGAATAAGGCCTTGATGTTATTGATCTGCCAAGTGACTTGTTTACCAATCTCTCGGTGTAGGTCTCTAAATAGGTGCTCTTGTACATGACAAACACTCTCAGGCATCTAATGGCGCATGATGTTTGTGGGAGTGAGCCGATTCTTTCAGTTATAACCAACATGCAACGTGTTAATGTCTTTCCCTGTACTTAAGCACATGGATCATGACAGTTGTGTTGTTTTTTCTCTTCACCGTACAGCCGAGCGATTTGAGGAAACACAGGAGAAAGGTACGCACAGCATTTTCAATATGATTCTAGTTACCTATAACTTCTCATATACCCACGGTTTAGCGGCTGCTGTAATGACACCGTTGGATAAATTGTTGACTCACAAGCATCCGAGGTCGCGTTTAACGTCCCGCCGCTCTGCCCTCATCCCTCAGATAGCGGCGGTTGAAGAGGACGGCCGCGAGGACAAGGCCACCATAAAGTGCGAGACATCCCCCCCTCCGACGCCGCGCACTGTCCGAATGACACACACACTGCCAGCCTCCTCGCACAATGATGCACGAGGGTGAGTGTCGGAAGGCGGAAGTGAGCTTATTGGTCACGAAATGATGTCGTTTTTCAGTTCATGTTGAATATTTAGACACATGAAACGGCCATTGAAGATCCCTTATGGGGAAACCATGTTTTATTTGTTTTGTGGTTGTTTAACATTCAGAGAAGTAAAGTACAAGCTGTTGGGCACAACTAGATAGACTCCCAGCTTTACAAGCAGGTAAGAATGTTACAGAGCTGCTACGTTCCAGCTGAGGAACCAATAGCTGTATCACTTTAATTTAGCATAATCCTGCCTCCTCACTGAGTCTTCATGTACTCCCAACATCTTGGGAACTGAAGATGCAGTGGATTACTTTCATTTTTATTGGCAGTGTCCCCACAACAATAAGGTGACCATATTTTGGTCAATGAGGTACTCATATGATACTCCAAGTTTAAAGATGCCTTATAATTTCAATAAATGTAAAACCAGGACATTTTCATCACTTTATAAAAACAACCAGGACACCATGGACAGGACGTGAAAACAGGACATGTACTGGGAAATCAGGATGATTGGTCACCCTACACAACAACTGGAAAATCTGTAGTGCTGTTATGTTTTGCAGCTAATATGGCTAATGTTAGCGTTAGCATTTATTGTATGCACACAAGCCAGAGCCATTTCTTAAGTGCTACTCCGCACCGCTAAGCTACTGATTTTATAATCACGGCATCATCTCATAAACTCACTACACACAAGTTAAAAACAACGGTTGTACTTGCAGAACGAGTCTTCTTCCTGAAGGGGGCGTGGCCAGCAGCAACTCAGCTGCATTTTCAGCTACAGACACTGAAACAGCCTGTTTAGAACAGGATGGTGAAATGAAACATGTTTGTGATATTTTGAGCTGAAAATTAAAGGCAAATTCAGGGGACATTTGGTATTTTTATTAGTTTACTGAAAAGAGGCTCATAAAGGGTCCTTTAATAGTCTAGTTTGTCATTAATCCTTGTAGTGTAACTGTACAAAAAAAATATTTGTTCAGCTGGCTTTGTATCTTGGGTGAAAATGCTTGTCTTTCTTGTAAAATGTTTGCTTTGTGGACTCGTTTTTGATGGTGTAGTCATCATAGCGCTGCCTGTTCTTGCTAAGAATAAATACGAAATGATTCAGAAAAGCTTTAATAATCACCACAGGGATATTGCTTTTTAACAGTTGCTCAAGATTGCGCAATTATATAAGAAATGCAATACAAGAAATACTAAAAAGCGCTGGGTTGTATAACCTGGAGTCTCGTGGTAACAGAGTGGACGATATCTCCTGCATTTGCCAAGTTCGCAGACAGAGAGATGTAAACAGCAGCTATTCTGTACAAACTCCCTGATATGTTGTGTGGATGCAGCCCTGCAGCTGACAGTTCAATATCTGATCTGCAGAAATGTTCCTTCTCGTTGATGAAGTTTCCCATTTAACTGCAATTTTGCCTTTAATAATATTTCAGCAGTCTCTATCAGGGTACTTTTTCAACGTTAAAGCTCAGGCTGCAGTAATAATATCAGATAAGATTAAGCATCAGCGAGGCACAACTTATTTGGGGAACGCAGGAAATATTTCTCAGATACAACACAAAAAAGTCTAACTTTTGCTTCAAGAGTGAAGAACAGAGCAAAGGCATTAACATGATGTGAGATAACACTGCTATGATATGTGGTGAGTCCACTACGAATACAAATATACTTTACATGTATTTGGGGTCATCATGGGAATTCAAAATGTTGGAAAGAAATTCTCCTAAAATTGAAGTTTGCCTTAAACTTTTAAAGCGTTCTTTTAATCCTATTGTCTGTGTGTGTCTTTGATCTCAGGATTGTGGCCTCTCTGGAGGCTGAGGCCAGCGCCCTAAGTAGTGTAGCCAGCAGCCAAGACTCCCTCCACAAACAGCCAAAGAAGAAGGGCATCAAGTCGTCCATCGGGCGACTGTTTGGCAAGAAGGAGAAAGGCCGACTGGCACATCTAGCACACAGACAGGTCATGGTGGATCCACAAGGTGAGTGCTGCTCTCAGATGGCTGCATGCATTGATGGAAGCTTGTACTGATTGTGAAGTGGTGGTGTTTCATTTTATAATTTGAATGATGTCACTTTTAAAGAATGTGTGCTTGTTTCTAGCCAAAAATTTGCTTGGTAGGTTAAAACAGTCTCTCAAAGTTCATACAACCGGACATTAAATCAGCTCATCTGAAGGTTAGAATCAAGCTTCTACTACTGCTAAACACAGACAACTTGTCACTTAAAGAGTGTGGGACTTCACCCTGTAAACGATTGTTCGTTAAATTCAAACCAAATGAGTTCACACAGTGCTGAATAATCCCATCAATAGCAGGTAAATCTCTCTGTATTTCACAACAAACCAGAGTTTTAAATCTGGTGTCTGTGGCAACGTTTCCACACTGATGCTTTTTACATCAACCAGCAACAACTGCTTTGTTGTAGCCAAAGAGGGGGAACAACTATAACTGAGATGGAGCAGGTTACAGCAACAACAAGCATGATGTGGAAAACCCTAAAAGTCCAAGTTTCTGATGATTCAGATATAAAAGAAATTCAGCATTTAGAGAAAGGATTTCAGTCTAAAAAAGGAAGTGGATGATAGCAATGCTGCATCAAAACCACACCGGAGCTGCAACAATTAATAGACTAAGCAATTAGGTGTTAACGATTATATTCATCTGCAACTATTATAATCAGTTAGTCACTGGAAGTGATTTTTTTAAGACAAAAATGTCTTTTTTTCTCATGTTTTAAATTAAATTCCTATTTTCTAGTTTCTTTCCTCCTCGAGGACAAGAAATTGAAACAAAACATTTTAGGGATTTTGCTGATCAGCATTTTTTTTCTACCATTTTCTTACATTTTATAGATCAAAGTTATTGAGAATATAATCGACAATAAAAATAATTGTTAGTTACAGCCCTAAACTACACATCAGCAGTCCCAGAAGGATGACACTGAAGATCCACACTGCAGCGTCAGTATTACTGACATAAACAGAGGCTAAAAATGCATGAGCATCTGAAAAACCTAATGCATCATATTCATCATCTAAGTTACTGTGATTGCATCTAATTCAGTTAATATAAATATATAATGGTGATACAAAGGGTCAAAACACCACAGCAGCGTAATAAATGTGCAGTAAATTCTGGTGTTATTGTAAAATCCAGATGATCAGAGACAAACACTACCTGAAAAAAAAGTATTTATCCATTTAATATCATTTGAATTCCAGCTTGTATTCATCTGTTTTTTTTTCTCCCTCAACAGCAACTATGATGGACCCAGACATGGCGGGCCAGGACATGGGGGTGGGCAAGTTGGGAACTCAGGCTGAGAAGGACCGCAGATTGAAAAAGAAGTAAGCTTTAATCCAAGTGCCACCTCACCAGTCACCGAAACAGCAGCTTTAGCTTCACACAGTGTCCATTTACATATATCTGCTAACACACACGGCTCTTAGGAAACAGTCACATTTAGAGCAAACAGCGTGCCTGGAAGCTGTATTTACAACCTATCTGCAGTACTTACCCCCCACTGCTGCATTACAGTATAGAATGCAATCTGACCTTCGACACACAGACAGTAGCTGCAGCCTCCACCTCCTTGTGTTTCCCTCTAATTCTTTTCCCTGTGCTGTATGTAATATCTCGGCCCACGCTGAGAACAGGATCGATAGAAAGCAGAAGCTGGATCAGTATCCAGGAGCAGAGATCAGCCTTACTGTATTCACAACAGTCGCACTATTAGTCCAGGCTGGAAAGCCGGTTAATCCCACAAAAGGTGCTTTTCTACAATTTGGAAGCTATAGATGTCTTTCCTGACACACCACCTATAGATCACACTCACACCGGGTGCCTCCTGCTCTCCAGGAAAAAGGAAACCCCCCCCCCTTTCCAGATTAAATCTTTCAGCAGGAGTGTTGCAGAATATATATGTGTGTGTGTTTGCGTGTGTGTGTGTGTGTATGTGCATTGCCATGCCCCAGTGCCAAATGATGAATGTCATTTGCTCGAAGTGCACATTGAGTTGTCATGACGAATAACTTTGCCTCCCATGTAGTTGGTCAATAGAGAGTATTGTGTGTTGTATGTTGACAAATGTGTTGTTTTCCTTCCACTGCACTGACTTCTCCATAGCAGTGTCCGGGATTAAGGCCACACCACCACCTTGCATCTTGGTGCCTCCTCCACACTGCATGCCATTAAGCTGCCTGCTCTACTTTCCATTTCAGCATCTTGATCGATCAATACCGCTGTGATCTCATTGTCGGTGTGGTTTTTTTGTTTTGTTTTTGTTTTGTTTTTTTTCCTTCAAGAAGTAGCAACAAGTATCTGAATGTAACTGAGCATTTGAATGTAAGACCATGAAAGTAGGGGCCGGGTGGGTGTTGATGTGTTTCAGTGCATTTCTCATTTTTCTTCTGCTGCACGAGATGTGGTCAGGACTGCATTGTAGAAGATGACATTTTATTGACTGATCTACAGATGCTCCTGTAAAACGAATGTCCTCCATCGTGAGATATATGTGTGTGGGTGTGTTTGTTTGAGTGTGTGCGCACGTGTTTTTTTTTTCTTTTCTTTTCTGTTAGAGCGTTTATTGCCTATTAACTCATTAACATTTGTGTACTTTTGTCTCCCCCGTCGCTCTCTTTCTCCTTCTTTTCTCTCTTCTTTTGCTCTCTCCTCTCTCCCCCTTCCTCTCCCCTCTCATCATCCTCTGACTCTAACAAAAGCGGGTAAGTTGTGAGGATGTATAACTGACCTCCTGGATATGACCATTGTCTCAGCCATATTGCCCTGTCTGTCCATCTCTCCTGTCCGTCCTGCCATCCGTCCTCTCCCGAAAGACCAGTGCCAAAGCTGACGTCTCTTATCTATCTATCTATCCTTCATGGCTGTTAATGACGCCATTTTGCTTTCTTTCTTTTTTCGTTCATTTACCACATGAAGACGTTTTTCTTCCCCCCTTTTTACAGTTCAATGGCAGCTGCACCCATGGCTGGACAGAGAATGTGCCGCCGCTAAAGCCGGGGCCCAATTTTTATACCCAGAATGGCTTCCTCTCCTTATATGTGTCTCTATCTATTTGTGTGGAAAATAACCAGCTGCAATATCTGGTTATGGGAATGTCAAAAAAAGGTTCTTTTTGTTTGTATGATTTGTCATAACTGTTTCCTTACTTCCCTTTCCCCAGCTATGTTCAGTGGATGTATTCTCCATGCATTAAACCTGACCTGAACATAAGACATGAGCTCTATCTCCCCCCATGTGCTGGATAGATAAGACAGTGAATGTACCTGGTTGTGTTTGGATGGAACACATTTCCTCTGTTCACCTGTAGGCTTCTGTACGCCATGTAAGCTGTGTTTAAGCGCCCTTTCACTGTACTGAGGCCTTCAACGCCGACGGTGTTTATTACCGGACCCACTTCCTCGCATTTTGTCAAGCTCTTTGACAACGCGCTCAGGGGAACGGGGTTGTCGGTTCAGAGATTTGTTATGAAATGTGTTCACAAAATAGAATAAGAACTGTGCTGTTTTATTGTGTGGGTGTGAGTGTGTTCCTCGGTCCCCCTGTTTGTCAGGCTTTTTTTTTTTTTTTAGGCTGTTTATCAGTTTCTCCGTCTCTCGCAGAGTGTGGGAGGATGCAGCACAATAGAAAAAAAAAAAAAAGCTCTGTGCGTGACAGACCAAGAGTCGCTCCTCATCGTCGATAACATTTACATCGTGTAGGTCGGCGGCGACCCTCAAAAGTGTGGCGGGAACAAAACGGCACTCTTCGGTAAACACCTGCAGAGCGAGTGCAGATAATGTGAAGAAAAAAATACCCAGATGCATGATTCAAACAGAACAAACAAATAAAAGAAAACTCTCTCTCAGCAGAATGAATTGGGATGAGTTGGGAAATTGTGCTTAGATTAGCAATGTGGAGTCCAGCTTCAGTGAGCCGGCACTGCAGCACGGTGCCTTCCAGGTGTGTATGTTTATTACTGCATTTGCACTCAGCGCATAAAGTGCCTCCGCCAAGGATCCTCTATATTTCTTAAGTGTGTGTACATTATCAGAATTTGCATTAAAATGCACGCTTGAGAGTCAGTCCTTGTTTCTTGGAGAGAGAAAAAAAAAACAAAACCTAAACACTGTTATGGAAATTCTGACCTCGTTCAAGGATTGATTGTGCCAAACTTCAAGTGATCTCAAGAGCGAGCATTCCGACGTTAGCGGTAACAGCCTTTTTTAGTTGCAGGTGCACAAGATGTTTATGTAAATATGACTGGAAACAAATGACACATGAATTTCAATGAGAAATACTGTAGGTGTCACACAGGGAAAATGTTAATGTCAGCGTCGGAGAGAGAGAGAATGTAAATTCGGTCGGTGAGTTTCCTCATAAGCTCAGTAACACGACGCCGGCGTGTGAGTGGAGTTGTGTTTGCTCCCCTCTCTGTTAGCGCAGAGATGAATGATAAAACGTTGCCCTTTTCAACACTCTTGGTGTACAGGCTGGACTGAGAGATAAAATGTGTATGAGTACTCTCCTCTCATGTACCACACACACACACACACACACACAGAGCAGCAACAGATCAACACCAATGCGACTGCAGGGGTTTGTGGCAGGTGTGTGAGAGCGTTTAAGAGGGTGTGGTGTTGGATCAGTAAAATGTGTGTTTTTGAGATGTTACTGTTCATGCGTTCATGCCGGGTCTCCTCTGTCCCTGCCTTCAGACACGAGCTGCTGGAGGAGGCCAGGAGAAAGGGTTTACCCTTCGCCCAGTGGGACGGACCCACAGTGGTAGCCTGGCTGGAGGTAAATGCTCACTGTTTGTAGAATAAGAGCTGGTAGAGTCAACACTAAGATACAAAAAAAGAGACTTTAAGACCATCTCCGATCATGGATTTGACACTGAAAACTGCTCTACACAATGGCAAGAAATAAAATCTTTTGAAATATATATATATACACATTGAATATCAGCATAATATGTACACAAGAAGGATTCTTAAGTGAACTAGTTTAGAGGGAAATTCAATCTTAGCAGACTTCAGCTTTGTTATAATAAAACTCAATTAAAATCCTGAGAAGATGCATCTTCCCTTATGAGTCCTTTTGATCCAAACCAACAAAATGAGATGCAGTGTAACTTAAATAACACATACAGGAAGTATTTCAGATTATTCTTATTTAAGATGGTTTGATCATTGCCAGCTAATGTCAGTTTGATGTTTCCGTCGGAGAACAGTTTGAAGTTTCAGCAACGACATTCACACGATATTGAGTTCATGTCTTAGAAGTTCTCCTTACTATTTATGAAAATACAGATTTCTGATGTGGACATTATTTATAGTTTTGACCTTTTTTGTCACATGACTGGTATAGTCAACACAAAGCGACACAGAGGAACTTTAAGACCATCTCTGTGATTGGTTTAACACTGAAGAAAACTACTCTGCGCTACATAATGCCAAGTTGTAACGCTGGAGTGACTCATTCTTACATGTTTGGAAATGATGCTGGAGAAGAATAATAATACAGAAAGTCCCACTCTGCAAGTTGACAGCATTGGTTCCTTGTCTTTGTTGCATATAAAACCCAGCAAATCAGAATCTGTGTTTTTCAGATTGTCATCAGTGACGTTTCAATGTGGAAATGCTCAGTCATGGTGTTGATATATTGTCTAGCATGGAAATGTGAACAAGATTTGTTTTAAAAAACAACTTGATCTTCACCAGAGGGGGGTTTTAAGGTTCATGTAAACACTCAACAGCTTCACTTTTCCTCCTCAGAGGCTTCCTATTGACTTGACCTACATTACTAACATAATTAAGCCATGACTCCAATAATCAGCGCTCACATTTAGAGACAACAGTGTTGATTATAAAGCTAAAAATAATAGTCCAACCATGTGTGATGCATCACTGCAGTGAATCACTCTGTCTGTGACTGCCATTTTTTTTTTTTTCCACTGATGGAAATGCCAAAACATAGACACACTTCTGCCCCCTAATGTTTGGTTCGGATACATACAGCAAGCAGCCAATTTTCCAATCCCACCACCACAATGTTCCAGTGAAGGATGGAGTCAAACAGCAAATTCTGAGGCAGTTATATAATTTTGAGCTTCTGACAGGCAGTATTTGTTCTAGCATTACATATTTTTAGAACTGACAACTCAACAAGTGTTCAGTCGTGCCTATCAACAGTATTCTTGGCAAGATCCTATGAAACAAGTGTTGGCTGTTATGGACACAATTCTCCAAAACTACAAGAAATAACTACTGATTTTTTAAAAAGTAGAAATTTGTATGCGTGCATAAATATAAAATGAAACCACAGAAAATGTAAATCTTATGTTCAAGTCTGTAGGTCCAGCTTTAGTTTCTCTCTTTTCACATTCAACAAACTAACCTCACCCCTTCGCCTCTTCTCCGTGCGGTGTAGTTGTGGTTGGGGATGCCGGCCTGGTACGTGGCGGCGTGCCGAGCCAACGTGAAGAGCGGCGCCATCATGTCGGCCCTGTCCGACACCGAGATCCAGAGGGAGATTGGCATCAGTAACCCTCTGCACCGGCTCAAACTCCGCTTGGCCATACAGGAAATGGTCTCCCTCACCAGCCCCTCGGCCCCGCCCACCTCCAGAACCGTGAGTAAAAACACCACATGTGGCAACATGGACGCAGACTGGAATTTTATTTCTACAAACATTTGCTGAGGGTCGCACTGATCTGGAGGAAGAAGTAAACTCACAATTGGCTTGAAATGGCAAAGATGGAGCTAGGGTACTAATCTGAATGGATTAAATGTCGAGAGGTAATATGTGTTTTAGCTTTCTGGTCAGGATTTGATGAAAAGATCAATAACACTTTAATATCCGTCTGTTTGATATGAAGCTATTGAAACCTATAATCGTACCACAAGGACTTAGAAATGGGAAACCAGCAAGCGTAGCCCTGTAAGTGACTAGCACCTCAAAAGTTCTTTTCAGTCAGTTTTAGGGGTTGGACATATTATTCCTGCTGTTTCCAGTCTTTATGCTAAGATAAACTTATGGGTTTCCTCTTCACTTTAAACAGGCAGACAGAGTGTTATGAACCATCACATCTAACTGTCAGAAAGAAAGTATTTCCTTCAACTTCCGCCCAATTTTACTTTGTTGTAGTGCTTTTAAAAGTCCCATATTTTTCCCATTTTAAGGTAGCCAAGGGAGGTTTCACATGTCCTCAAATACTACAAAGATGGTTTATTTCCTCATGACTGTATGGCCTCTGGTTTTAGCTGCTGCTGTTCAGGCCTCCTTCAGGAAGAAGACTCTCTCTGCAGCTGTGATTGAGCAAAACAGTCGGCCACATGTCAGCTGATGAGAATGAGTGACCGGGATTCTCTCTAAGTGGCAATTGTATCTAAAAATATCACCAATTCACAATGTAGATGTGTTCAGTGAGTTTGTCAGGCAGCACTGTGTTAAAAATCTATGTTTAGTGGTGCAGCTTGGAAACAGCTATGAAGCGACTGCTGGTTAACATGTAGTCTTAATGGACTTTGTTTCAGTCAGTATTTCTTACTCGTTTCGTCATCTGACAGAAAAATATGTAAATCAGATTTATTGGGAATTTGGTTGTATGAAAATATAGTGCATACGAGCACAGATGGAAGGAGGGAAGTACACAGATGTAAATGAAAACTGATCAAAGTTGATGGTAGTATTAGCTATATTAGCCACACCATGCTAACACTAACCTGTTGTTGTGGTAACATTTAAAATAAAGTGATATACTGGGTTTTCCATTCCTTAGATACTGGGCGTGCATGAAGACTGACATGTTCACTCTTGCTGAAGAACATTTGGTGTATTTTGCACTAGAAATTTTAGAGTTCGCAGAAGCAGCTTCAAAAGCAAATAGAACCTGGTGGACATTTGAGCTATAGATGGATTTTGGGTCCTCAACTGGAACATAGCAGCTCAGTAAGAAGTGTTCTGGTTTGTAAAGCTGGGAGGCTGTCTGGTTGTCCGGGGAATAGCAGAAGTAAACATAAATTCATATTTTGACAGCTTTTACTTTACACCTTCAAGTAGTTAACAAGCACGAGACACAACAAAAATGGATTTTTACCATATGGAACCTCTAAAGCGTACATTATGTGTTAAAAATGCTATATACGTTGGTCCTTGTAAATTGTCTTTTTGTATTTGTTGTGCTTCTTGTACAATTTGTATGACTTGCGAAAAAAAAAAATTGCTCCTGCCTTCAAATGGAAATGAAATATTAACAAGCCTAGCATTCTGACATCGGTTTCTCAGGATGAGAAGCTAATTTTTTTTCCTCTCTAGTAACAACAAGAGCTCTGACACACATATTCCTCCTGACCATTTTTACTCAGTGTTTTTCCAACACTCTAGCCAGAAAAAAAAAAAGGTTTCTTGACCCAAAAATATGTCATTTCTGCCTCCAAAGCAAATGTTTGTGTGACCGAACATCTTCTCTGCTTCACATGTACCACGCCTTCACACATGGGTAACACGAGTAGGTGGCCAACAAACAATTAGCGCGCAGAAGCGTTATGATCCGCCCCGCACATTTGTCAGCAACATCTATATTTGTGTCTATATATGTTTTTAAGCCCACAGTCTTAGCGATAAGTGAATATTACAGTGGGAGTCTGAGATGGCCCAGACTGTAAAACACCGCTCCGGCGTGTACTGTAATTTAGCTCTCAAGTTATTCCACACCACGGTTGCTTTCACAGCTCCCTGTTGTCATGGTAATTGCATACAGTCTCTGAGGACTCCGCTGTTTCTTAATGATAGCAACTGTTCACACTGCAGAGCAAGGACTAATACGCTGTACACAAAAGGTACACACACGCCGACAATGCAGCCCATACATCACACAGGCGTGAGAAGTTGCGCGCTGTCACATAAACCCAGTCGAGAGCATTCATTAAAGTTTGTGTCTTTATAAGACAGTACGAGTATGCATGCAACCCTCATAACTCAGAATCTCTGGCACTTTTTCTGTCCTCTCCCGTTGTTGAATAACTGTGCCACTACTCCTTTACCTCGCCCCGTCTTCTACCACTTAGCTCCGCTTCCACACCTCATGAAACTTTCATTACGGAGCATGAGACGCCACGTCTGATGACAAACTCCCCCCAAACTACGACGGGCCTATTGTCGCACTTAAAACCCTCCAAGCACTTAACAGAGGGGGTTAATTGACTTTGTAAATGCTGTGTATGTCAAGCAGGATTGTCAGACTCAGTCATTTTACAACTGGATCCCCTCAAACATGCAGAGAGGCTGTTGAGAGTCTCAGATGTGGTTAACCACTGCTGCCTCACTGTTACCATGAAAAAACATCCAAATAAACAATGAGTATAGAGGAAGGATTTAAAGGTTTGATTTTCATAGATTAGTTCGTAGTTACCTGTAGCCACACAGGATAGTGTTGGTAATATCTGTCCAGTGTGAGGACTGCCTATAGAAACACACACACTACTGTCAATTATGTGTCATTTTTAAAGTAGAATTCCAGTTCTCCATTGTATTGTGGAGGCAGAAACCACAGATGGAGCTGGACAAAGACCTAAAATGATCGGATGATTAACCCTCTGAACCCACCAGCAACTTTCTTTTTTTGAAAGACAGGATGTCTTTCAAAAAAAATCAGCAAAATTACAGTATTTATCAGAGCCAGACACTGTAGAAGCAGAAAGAATTGCTGCCTTTCTGTCAGGAAACGTAAACGGATGGAAGCATATTTAAGCATAAAGTGCTGTATAAATAAAGTTGAGTTGAGTTGAGATATTCACTTTATTCTACATGTCTTAGTTTAAAAAAATCTGAAAAAAATGAAGTGTTTGCTCTTCCAAGATTCTGGAAAAAAAACACTAAAAGTTCCACACTTGGTAGCATAGTTTGGACGCCATTAGTGATGTTCAGCTGAACTGCAGGCTGTGTATTTACAGAACACATGAGAAACAAGCGTCAATGCAAACTAAAAATACCAAAAAAGAAATTCAGCTTTTATTTAGTCATTTTTAAAGATTATAACTTTGCCATAATGCACAAAAGACATTTTTGAGTTTTCTCTTCTTCTATCAATGCTTGTGCTGTTTCCATAAAGTGTCAGGATTTTATATTAGAGTGATAAAATAGCTCACAGTGAGTAAAAATGTGACAGGAGCAAAAAGAACGCCAAACTGCTTTTGGTTCAGAAGGTTAATCGTTCATGTCATTTTTTTATCCATAAACACAAAACATTTAGTTGGTGCATTCAGTAGTGAATTTGAAACCTTTGTGTGGACAATAAGACACAGACAGATGGATATGATGTGGTCAGATACCATCAGACATGGCGGGTTTTTTTGTGTAATGAAGTGACCCTCTGCTGGTAGAAGACGGAGGGAGTGGAAGGAGGAATGTGGGGTTTGTGTGTCTGTCGGTGTTAATGGTACTAATTTATTCTTTGTTGTGCATGGCAAACGTCTTCGTGTCACTTGTACATCTGCTGTCTGCCAAACGTCGGGATGTTCTGTGCTGTACTGTGTTCTTTTTGTCCTTTTGCATATATGCCCTTCGACCCCTGGCGGGTTTGGGGCCAGTTCATCATCTGACTGTGATGCTATAACACTATTGGCTTACAGTGGTGCTGCTCTTCTTCTTTAACACTGCTTGCCCCTCCTACCGGACCTCTACTACCAACCCTGCTGCTGCTGCTCTGTCTCTTGGGCTCTGCCCCTTGTAGCCGTCAGGCAATGTGTGGGTGACCCATGAGGAGATGGAGACCCTGGCAGCCCCTTCCAAAACGGTCAGTCCCACTGTGTCCTTTACTGTCGCCCTTTTCTGTCCGTCAGTCGTGCGTCAGATGAGTGTATGAGAGTGGACGGTGATGGTCGGAGAAGGCATGCAAATTTAAACCCCTTCCTGTTCTGTGAGGCTCTTGTCAGTACTAATGGTGTGCTTTCTCTTACTGGTGAAGTTTTTAAGTCAGTTATTTTTTTTGTTATTGTTTGGTTCGGTCCATCTCCATAATGAAGGTCGTGAATCATCAAGGCTAGGCTGTTTATTTCTGTTGTACTGTTACTCACCACACAGCAGAAGTTATTTAAATCACATTTAGCAGCCGGCTTCCTCCAGGTTTCGCACATCAGGGAGTCGGCTTAATGAAGCTGCATGTGAAATGTAGCATTTGTCTCCAAATTAAAAAAAACTCTTATCACAGGCAAAAATAAAGACAAACGTGTAGAGATCTAATGTGCAGTGAGGTTTGAACTCTCAGGATGTTCCATGTTATGGGTGAGTACTTACCGTAGCAGGAAGGTTTGTCTTTATGTAATGAATGTAATGATTATGTGTAATTATCATATTGGGTCTTAATTGAAATGAATAGAACACATGACTGGATTCCATCAGTACCTTCACTCCACAGAGACATCACTTCAACCTTGAGTGCCAAACACACTTTACATTACAGTTCTGTGGCTTTCTTTTAATGCCTTTTTATTTAAAAAAATAAAATAAAAAAATCAACATACATTATAAGCATCTAGCGGCATCTTCTCTCTCCCTGCAGGAACTACAAAGCTAAAAGCCAGTCTAATAGAATTTTTAGCCCATTAGTAACCTATTTCCAACCCAAATGGAAGCTGTCAGGCCGGGCCACATTTGAGCTTAAAAAAAGCAATTTAGCTCGGCACTTTCTTTTCCTTTTAACTTACTTGAAAGCTGGTTACAGTTCCTTCAAGGTTTGTTGAAATGTAGCAAAAGTTGGGAATAAATTTCATATGACTTCGATGCAGAAGCAGCACAGACAAGCTCAGCTTTGGGTAACCAGAGACAGGTTTGGGAGGTCGTGTTATTGACACCTAAAGAAAAACAAAAATCATTACCTCAACAGCTGCTGCTAAAACGTTCTCAGGATACATGAATGCACTGTAGGTCGTTTTTTTGTTTTGTTTTTTTATTACTCGCCCATCGCATTTTAGACATTTTGCAGGATTTGTTATGGTTGCATTTTCTCTCATGACTACACTTTGTCTTTTCCTTGTGTTTGACTCAGAAGTCAGAGTCTGAAGAGGGGAGCTGGGCACAGGTAAGGGGGGACGACTTCCTACAGTCTGTGTGAAAATGTGTGCAGCAGAAGCATCAGTTAAATGCATTTTTTTTTTTTTGTAAATCAGAATAAGCTGTGAGTTTTACTGACTTTGTGCTTTCTATCAGACTCTTGCTTATGGCGACATGAATCATGAGTGGATAGGGAACGAGTGGCTGCCCAGTCTAGGACTACCTCAGTACCGCAGCTACTTCATGGAGTGCCTAGTGGACGCCCGCATGCTGGACCACCTCACCAAGAAGGACCTGAGGGTGCACCTTAAAATGGTGGACAGCTTCCACAGGTACTGGACTCACATCACCGACCTCAAGAAAGAAAAATCCTTAATTCCTCTAAAATTGTGGTCATATTGATTCAAAGATGTAAATTACTCATACAGCATGTCGTACTTATCTCTGCTAGTTCTTCCATTGGAGGTTTTTTTTGGAAGATGCTGACCAACCAGGTGTAGCACATGGATAAAGTTCTTCTCTTTCACTGTGTTTTTGTAACATCAGAACAAGTTTACAGTACGGCATCATGTGTCTGAAGAAGCTCAACTATGACCGAAAAGAACTGGAGAGACGCAGGGAGCAGAGCCAGCATGAAATGAGAGGCACGTATACCCAGAATACAGATTTATCAACCTCATAAAAGGCCAAATCAGGATGGAAAAAGTATTAATTTTTTACTCGTGCCTGCAGACGTACTGGTGTGGAGTAATGAGCGGGTCATCCGCTGGGTGCAGAGCATAGGCCTGAGGGACTACGCCAACATCCTGCTGGAGAGCGGTGTGCACGGAGCTCTGGTCGCCCTGGATGACAACTTTGACTACAGCAGCCTGGCGCTGCTCCTCCAGATCCCCAACCAAAACACTCAGGTACTGGAGCTGCATCATTACCACAGCTATACAGTGTACGAGGTGTGTCAGAAAAGTTTCAGGACTGGTGTCACAAAAGATCTATTTCAACTACAAACTACAAGTTTTCCCCTTCCAAGTAATCCCCCTGGAGACTAGCTCACTTTCCCAGCCTTCTCTTTCACGCCGCCATGCACTCCTGGAAGGATTCTTCCGTGATCCTCTGCAGCTCCGTCATCACAGCCATCTTGATGTCGTCCACGTCTTCAAAATGGATCCCCTTGATGACCCCCTTGAGCTTGGGGAAGAGGAAACAATCCCACTAAGTCAGGTGGGGTGAGTAGGGAGGTTGCTCCAGCACGGTGATGTTCACTGAACGAAGCAAACGCAGCAGGATCTCTTTGTAGACGTGCTGGTTGATCATCTGAAGGGGAAAACTGGTAGTTTGTAATTTGGAACACCAGTCCTGGAACCTTTCTGACACACCTTGTACAGTATATTTACATCAGCTTTGGCAGCTCAGACAGGCAGAGAGTGAACTTAAACTAAGTTCCTTCTTATAATAGCAGCATTACCCTTTTCTAAATTTCATAGCCTTGATATAATTTCATAGGTTTTCCTCATTCAATATGGAAATCCCATATTGTGAAGGAGACATCTTGAAGATTTTTTTTCTTTTTTGGCACTGACACTGGCAAATGTAAAGGTGCAGAATATGGGCAGAAATATCATCTGTCACCAGCTTCAGTCCAAAAATAGAGGAATGTTGGTATCGGCCTTCAAAAGCTGGTGCAATCTAAATCAGAACATGCAGATTTGCCAACTGTCACCCTGGCAGGTTGCCCTGTGAATTTTCACTGCTTATCTCATCTATACTCAGGGTAAAGTGGATATGCAGCACAAATAACGTAACGTGTCAGCTGCCTCTGTTACCAGGCTGCTAAAAATAGCTGGCCTTGTGAAAATTAGAATATGCTGTAAATTTTGTTTTTTTTTTTCCTTTTTTTGTTCCTCCCTCCCTTCAGGCACGTCAGATTCTGGAGCGAGAGTACAATAATCTGCTGGCGCTGGGCACTGACAGGAGACTGGATGAGGTGAGACACAACTATCAGCACTGAGACATCCCACCACTGTGAGGTGGAAGTCATAACAAAGCTTTTTAGTCATTTCAGAGGATTTGCACCAGCTACACATTCAGCAGCTTTATTAGACGGTTAAACATAAGCTATTGGCTCATTTTTTTCTTTTGAAGTGAAGTTTTGTTTTTGAATTTGATCAGTTAAATTAAGCTGCTTTGTTATCATTGTATTTAAAGTGTACACTGTATATCCAATCCTCTAAACACCAAAACCGTCCATCAGGTTTGAAAGGTTTGTTGTGTTTTTTTTTAAAAAAATCTCCAAAATGACATAATTTATGAGCCAGAAACTGCAAAAACAGGAAGAATCAATTTTCAGCTTGACAGCCCAGTTGAACTAATTATGTGTGACTCGTAGTTCAGTTTGGAAAATTAACAAAATCTGTGCTTAAATTTGTACTCCATTTAAATCACTTAACTCCACATGTCTCATTAAAACATTCATCAAAAAATAAATCACTGCTTTTGCCAGGTTCTGGAAAAAAAAATAAAATAAAATAAAAATCTGTGCTTGTAGGTGGAACCATGAAGCACTTGGAAAAATGCTCAACATGTCGACTCCGGGTTATTCAAAGTTTTGCAAAAGAAATAAGAAATCTAAGAAATGTTCCTTTTTTTTTTTTTCTTTTTTTTAACTTTTTGATGATTTGTCATTATAACTGTGTCACAATCCGCACTAGACACTTCTGAGTTCTCTCTACTTCTGGTCATGGTTGCACTGTTTCCATAGTGCTGCAGGACTCAAGGTTCATAGAGTTAATGTGACAGTTGTTTTAAATATTTGGGGATACAAACTAAACCGTCATCTTATCCCTGAAGTAATGACACATCAATCGAGACTTTTTAAAAAAATAAAATGTCCTTTTGTTTAATTTTGTTTCGCTGACTTTATCCAGTACACTGACCAATCATATTTGTTTTCCGTTTTCTGTGCATCAGTGTGACGACAAAGACTTCCGAGGTCCATCGTGGCGGAGGCAGTTCCCTCCCCGAGACGTCCACGGCATCAGCATGATGCCCGGATCAGCAGAAACGCTCCCTGCGGGATTCCGTCTCACTGCGACGTCCGGTCACTCCCGAAGACTGCCCCCAGAGGGTAAGAGCCTGCCTCTGCACTTCAATTCTGCACTTCAGTTCTTTTCTTTCTCACTCACAAAACAATCTACAGGCTTGCTACTATTTTATAGCAAATGAAATGTGGTAAAGCTGGATAATTTCTGCAGTCTGGCTTTTAGACACAACAACACAAAGGTTGTGTCCACCTGTTGCACAGGTAGATGAAAGCACCGCACCTGAGAGCAGGAGTTTCTGCTCTCGGGAGCATTCTCACTGTGTCTCTTGTTTTCTCTGACTCTGTGACGGCTGTTCTGCAGTCCTCTATGAGGCGCTGGATGACAGTCCTGACGACATGTATTTGGATTGGTTTCAAGGTCAGATATGCCCCTCTGAAGGTTCTGGGCTTGTTGGCCCTGCGTGTATTATTATTATTATTATTATTATTCTACATCTGCTCCTCCCTCTTCACATAATCTCTGCCAACCACTGTCCTGCTGTATCTCTCCTTTTTATTTGTGGTCTCTCACCCTCGCCTTTCTTCTCTCTCTCTCTAACTCCACTACTCTTTAATCTCTAACTCCAAGGGTGTTGTTTTGCAGAGCTGCAAAATAGTTGTCTTGTCACCCTGGTAGTAAAAAAAAAAAAACAAAAAACTAGGGGGGTCAAGTTATGGATTAGGACCCATGCTTGCTGGTGTAACCCTTGAAGTTACAGTTATGAAGCAGCAAAAACAAAAAGGTGGCTGAGCGGCGCTATGTAAGTTGGCCTGAATCAGGAGGTTTACATAGGTCAACAGTTCGTCTTGGATGTTTCAGGAACTAAAACCGACAGTCTGTGTCATTCCTCATCCCTCTGCTGTTAAAAGAGGACACTGGCTTCAACAGGCTTATAGTAAAGGACAATGCTGGTTTAGTACAACCTGGGCCCTCTTAGTTTTGGCCATCATTTGTTGGTTATGATAACAGAAAGCAAAGAAACACCAAAGAAATTGCTGAGATTTGGGAAAGTGTCACAATTAATAGAGGTCATCCACTGTGGGGAAGTAGTTGAGCCGTATATATGGCTGAAACCATGCTGGCTGTTTTTCCACTGCACCACACAGGAAGTAGTTTACCTGAACCGCGACTGACAATCTGCTAATTTGGTGACAAACACATTGCATTTCCCAGGATGACGCTTTGAAAGTACAAACAGGGACAGACTTCAGACCACAGAGATTCAGGTAAAAGCACTGAGAACAGCACTGAGAGCCGAACACTTTATAAAGATGTCTCTGTAGCCTCCGGCACAGTTTGGACATTGAGGACGGAGGAGGAGGCTCTGGTCGGTTCTGCTCGGCAGTGTGGCTCAGCACAGCTATCCTCTGCTGTGTGGCCGCAGTGGAAACACAGGTAATAATATGTCCAACCTGGGGTTGTAGAAAAACTCATTAAAAAGTTTGTCAGGACAAGAGCAGCCAGAAGATCAGACAAGCAGCAAACAACAGTTTAGCCAGACGTAAAGTGTGCAAACCCAAAATCCTTCACTGCACATGGAAACTGCACAATAATAAATTGCAAAATGAAAATTTAATTGTAATTTTGATGTTTTTCTTAAACGGAAAGTTTGGCTAAACAGGGTATTTGTTTAAAACTTGTGTGACCGTTGACTGCTCTTGCATGTTTCCCCTTACTTCTGATTTCACGTTCTTAGATCTCAGCAATTATTTGTTTACATATATTAATGTTGATAATAGTTACAATGGCCAAAACTACAAAAGTCCCACATTGAAAAAATAATGTCAGCTCACATTGTGGTTGACTGATGTGGGTTTTTCGATTGTCGATGTCAATTATTTAGAGCGCAAACCAGACAATGGACCATGTATATGCTGATATGTTGTTCTTTTGTTGTCGTTGCTGTTTATTTGCATCTGACAACTGAAAAATAACAACTATGACATAATATTGTTGAACTTAAATGAACATTTATTTAATATCGTTATTGTCTGTATTCCCTCTGCTCTAGTACATATCTTTCTATACAGCTAGTTTAGAATTACAACATACACTTGGCTGGACTCAAGTACCGGTTTTGCTTATTTTGGATATAATTTTCAATAACATGCTAGCTCAGGTATGCTAGCTAAGCAGATCACAAGGTCTCTCCCTTAGCTTCTTTCTCTGTCCTGCTTATTGTGTCGTTTTATAGTTTTAGCCTCCTTTAAAGATGATATTTGGAATAAATGCAGCCTGTTAGCAGCATTGGAGGAAAATCTTAATGAACTGGAGGCGACACAATGGACAACAACGACCCGTTAGCTGTGGTAGCTAGCCAGGCCCCAGTAGCAGGTGAAGACCAACCTAATGTTGTCCTCGCTAACCATCCCCCTGTAATGCTGGTTATGTCAAACTTTTCTGATTGATTTACCACTAAATTCAAGGTCCTCTTAGGGACTTGTTCCAGAACGTTCAGCCATAGCACCACAGTCTTCACCAGCTAGTTGTCTTGGAACTGTAGATGTTGCGAGCACCTCTAGATATTGTTTCCATCACCAAGCTCCACTTTTTTTTAACCAACTTGGATGAGCATTTAGTCCTGGAGGTGCTCAGAATCAAAGATTAAACATTTACAGTTCTAGGAAAACTGATCTGGTGAGGAAGAGTAAACCCACGATGGACCCAAGATGGTAACAAACCAGAATTATCCTTTAAAAGGATGCAGAGTGTATTAGCAACTATGTCTTTAGAAATACGCCATACAGGTTGTTATACATGGCTGGAAATCATCCGAATGCATTGATTTTGTTGGCCAGTGTTCTCTTTTAACAAGGTGTTCCCAATGACACTGAAACAGCCTTCCTGTGTTCCTCTGTCTCGATTCTCTGTGCTCCCCGGTCTGTGACATCCACAATACACTGAAATCTAGTCGCTGGTGGTGTCCACTCAAAACCAAAACACTTCCTTTGAGTGATTCATGGCTTTCTCCTCTGAGGGTGACACTACAAGTAATCGCCATTGTGTGGAAAGACTGTTGCTTGTTGAGGATGTCTAATCTTGTGGCACCTATTCGGGGTGGAAACCAAGTGGAAGAATGTTTCCTTCTCCCTCTGGGTCCATCTGATGTTGTCAGGAGTCCTGATGTTCAGAGTTAACCGTTCCATCTCACTGTCTCCCCCTACAGTCGGACCTTCTGCGGTGCAGCGACTGGACAGCTCCACGGTGAGAACCTACTCCTGCTGAGAGGAGGAAGAGAGGGACCTTAAACTGTACGCTGTATGTAACACAACACAGACTCTTGCTCTGTCAAATACACAGCTTTCCTCAGAAGCACTTAAAACAGATATTGGATTAAACAGAAGTGGGCCAATTGTTTCCCAAGATAAGCATGTTTGTCTCATCGTCTTGGCGAGCGTCTGCGCTGTTTTTGCCAGGTAGCTGTGATAGGAGACGGCAGGGCGAGCAGCGAGGTACCGTCTCGTCCTGATGTCTCCCCTTTAATGTCCTTCCAGAAAAGATGAGTCAGTTGTGGTCGAAGCTTTGGAAATCAGCTTCAAATAAATGAGAAGTTCAGTACCTCACACAGAGATGAGTTAACAAAGTTCATTTAGATGATTATGACAGTTCAAGGCTCCTAAAATAGGCCTCGTCAGAGTTATTCAGATTACAAAGTGAGCCTGCCCTAGTTTCCTTTCCAAAATGTTTGCTTTGTACTGCCAGGTGCAATGGAGATTGTCATTTTCTTTGATGTGATACGCCATCTGACTGTGCTGTCTTTCCACATCTGTACTGAACTGACATTACCTCACAATTTAACTGCCAACCAAAAGGCTGACAAGCGGACTTGCAGATCTTTTGTTCAGAGATGGCTGTTACAGTTTAACATAGATGGCTGCCTCTACTCCTCTCTTAAACCATCTACAAGTTTCGTTGTACTCCTGCACAATGACAATAAAGTCTCTTTATCTCTTTATCTCTTTATCTATTCTTAAAGAAGTGTTCCTTATTTTGACCCCTGCTGAGCCTTCAAAGGAGCAGCTGTTTGGTCGCCTTTATATATAGGTTTGCGCACTCCCCACATTGTACTGCATGTTGTGGGTTTAATTTTTTCACATATGTGTGACTAAATGAAGGCCCAGTTAGGATAGCCACAGGTACTGAGTTCTGTCTTAGTATGCGTTTGCTCCCTTTGTCTTGGTAATGACATACTCCGTAAGGCTCCGATGACCATCTGCTAATGTTCCAGTTGATGGTGTAAAATAGCAGATATTGGCTCCTCAATGTGCACAATGCAGTCCAGAAAAGGCAGCTTTTTTTCTCTGACAGTCTCCTCTGTGAGCCTGATGTGGCTATCCACCAACTAACTATGTCAATACTGTGAAGTCTGTGAAGGTTTCTACTTCTTGGATTTTGATTTTGGTGTCATGTTTTCTTGAAAGATCTACTTTCTTTAATGTCAAGACACAATGGGTGAAATTAAGCCATGGCACAGCAGTGCTTCTGTTTGTATAAACCCTTGGTGGTAAGGGAAGGTCAATCATATCTGGTAAGAGGGGAAGGTGCTTCTATTGTTCAAACAGCTGTTCTGCAGTAGTCATTTTCGGCCAGTCTCTGTGGCCTCTGAGGTAGGTATATTTGAAAAGTGAGGGAAGATGAATGACACAATGGTTTCATCTGGGGCAGTTTCAGTTTCTTGCTGACACAAGCGGTGGAGTTTTGTAGGTGATCTAAAGTATTTCCAAGTAGAGATACTAAGATGATAGTGAAGTGTTCTGCAGTGTTACAGGAGGTAGAATTAATGTGGCAGATGATGGATTTGTCCTTCTTTGTGTATCTTCGGAAGTCCATATATGCATGGTGTGGCTTCTCCAGGGTAAAGCTGGTAATAAGATGGATGGTCGAGGGCTTTCTCCTTTTCTAGTTGTTCTCTGAACTTCTTTTTGTAGCTGCCTGTGTGATCTCATCTCAGAGCCTCGTAGGCAGTCTTGTCACTGAGCAGTGTAGTTATTTTGGCTGTGATGAGCACCACTGTGTATCTCCCCTTGTCTGCCAGCAGGATGTTGATATTCTGGTCTATGTCTACAGGTGTTACTGCCTTCCTTTCTGGGGTTTTGAGGTTGGAAGGAGGTATTTTTGCACTACAGAGCACTGCTGAAAGCTTCATCCTGTGTTGTGAGAGATACCAGGAAAAGTGCTTCCTACAGTGGTCAGCCGCTGCTCTCAGATGGTGTTCTGCTTGTATTTTATCCATACATACCACTTTCTAAAGGCTAACAACGGAACTTTATGACAAGTACTGTCTTAAAACTGTTCTCATTGATTAGTCTACGGCCTTTGAAGGCATTTAACTAAGCAGCTGAGCGGCCAGCATACCACTGTCCACTGTTGGATGTTGGCATTTCATGTATGCTTGTCAATACAGCAGGTGATTATATTTGAGTTAGCCTTAGCTAACATAACTGGTTAGCCTCGTAACCAAGCCAGACTGTTTGATCATAACTGATTGAGGGCTGACCTGTTTCACCGTTGTAGGGAGGGATGTTATTGCCAAAGTTAGCTCAAATATAAGTACCTTTTGCAACAACAACCATATATTAAGTTTCTTTACAATCAGATGTTTCACAAGCATGTGACAGCAACAAAAAGGTTATGAACTCTTCCTATTTCTATGAGTGTATTTTCTTGCATTTTCCATAAAGGTAGAAATAAAAGCATACATTTACAACAACACTCTTCCAAAAGCTAGGTCATTGCGTATTAAATTTGCATATTACGTTGCACTGAAGTGACAGATCACAAGCTGCGAGTGTCCAACCAACATCAGGTGGTGGTATGTGTCAATGAAGTACAAGGGGCATACCATTCGAGAGCAGCAGCATTTGGATGGCCACTTTTTGATGTTTGCATCTCCTGCAACTCAGATTAAAGGTTTCAGTAGTGTTCGGTTGTGCAAAAATACTTCTTTCCAACGTCACAACCCAGGAAAGGAAGGCAGTAAGAGCTCTAAGCAAAGACTCATCCATCACCATCTTGCTGGCATACAGGGGGAGATGCACAGCCATAGAGCGTCCATCATGTTACCAGCTTTAACCTGGAGAAGCCACACTATTTGGATACGGATCGAAAATACAGAGAAAAGGATCCCTACTTATAGCAATCAGTGAATGCAATAACTCCGTCACTTACACACTGCAAAACATCTCGCCACCATGTGTAGCACCTGTGGTTGGAAATCCTTCACATCACATTCAAAATCCCACAGAATTTCTCAACAAAATCCAGAAACTGCATTCAATTTCAACACTTTTTTTTTACATGTATACCTACATCTGAGACAGAGGCAACAGCTCTTTAAACAACAGTACTTTACCTTCTGTCGGGTTTGTGCGCTGCTTCAACACCTATTTCAAATATAATGAGGGTTTCTACAGACAGAACCACTGCTGTGCTGTGGGCTCCCCAGTCTCACCCACTGTGGCCAATCTCTACATAAACAACTCCCAGATATGTGGATGACACCGGGGTCAAAACCCAAGAAGTAAAAGCCTTTATATCAACTCAAACAAAGAGGATTTCAGGGGAAGCAGGCTGCCTTATTTGGACTGTGTTGTTGAGTCTTTTTGGAAGTCTTAACATTGAGGTTTACTTGTAACAAACACACACAGACCACTACCTACTCCCAAAACCCAGTGGGACATAAGCTGGAGGTTATCAGAACCTTCCAGCACCGAAAGAAATGAAAACAAGCACAGACATATTAAGAAAACACTCAAAACCTGAGGCGATCCAAGCTGGGCCTTCATTAAATCAACACAACAAAACACCACAACATCCGAAAGACAAGAACAGAGGGACAAGCACAACAACACTGCCACACACTGGATTATGTGGCCCAAGAAATTTAGGATTTTCTCCAAGAGCAACATACCAGAGGACTTCCACGAGGACCCCTGAAGATCATTTTTTGAGAACAGCTTTTGTGTTCCCTCACAATATGCCTATTATTCCTCATTATTCATTTTTAAAGGCAGATCTCCAACAACATCCAGCTGGTGCTTGTGAGCCCAGCTGCAGCTCCTTTACCTGGCTGTGATGCTGAAGCTGTGGCAGCATATACGGTTATTGTTCGAGCTTCGGCTGCTGTTGTGGTGCTACAGATGTGTTTCTATTTTGGACTTTTATTTGCTTGCTTAGGAATACACACACAGTAAAATATAAGCAGTAAAAATGAACATGTCCCTGATTACAGAGAGAGTGAGTACAACCCCAACTCTGGCTATGGTTACAGTTATGGCTGTGACACATTTCTAATGGTTCCAACACTGACAACATGCAGTGGTGTCTATTCCTGGACACATCCAAAGTGCCACAGATTGAACCATAGCAGCAGCCGACGTCCAAACAATATCCAAAAGTCTAGCTCCACCAACACGACCAGGCAGAGCAGTGGGATACTGCCACCGATCAGCCCTTTAAAACTGATTAATAAGCAGTAAATGCAAGTGTCACGTCATGTCTTGTTTCTGTAGTGTCTGCAGAGGGTTTTCCTGTATAGGCACTGTGTTATAACTGGACTGGATCAACACACCGACTGTTAATATGAATCAGAAAGACTGTAAAGCGAAGTAACGTGAAACCTATTGTAAGGTTGCCATGGCCCTCCACTGCCAATCCAACATAAAGACAGAATAACCCTAAGGATAAAACACCCAAACAACAGATGAGCGATGTTATATACGCAGTCCCATGCAGAAAGACGTGCACACACCTATATATAGGAGAGACCACATACAATGCAGTCCTGACATCAACGATTTTGTTTTTTCTGCTGGAAACTTTACTTCTGCAACCTCATATTTGTAATTTAAAAGAGGCACTTTACTACCAGTTTAGGCATCTGGGTGCAGTGATAACAACAGGCAGGACACTTTATAGTCCTGAAGCATCACTACAGGCCTACACGAAGTCACAACAGGCAGCTGGATAATATAAAGCCGAGATGGGGGGCGATCATCTAAGAAAGGAGTGTTTAGAAGACACAGTAAGACAGCGAATAAAAGTCAAAGCTGAGCACAGGGGTTGGATTCAGCGAGTAAAGTTATGCAGCTTCCATCTTCATAAGCATAATTTTGTTTTCGTAAAGTAGCTGCTCATCCCCCGGAGTCCCCTGCAGGCTGCTTCTAATGCTTGTTGTACTACTACGACTTCTCAGCAAAAACAATAAAGTGCAAAGTTCAGCGAGTGCATTGGGTTGAATTCTGGTACACTATCCTCAGTTGTTGGCGTTATTTACATTTTTCCACTGGTGCACATTACGGTGTAAGATTTGCATAAAGGCACACCAAAAAAAAAAAAAATGAAAATGTTGGCGCCCTTTTGACCTCCCTTATTTCTAACCCCGCATTTGAAGCAAGATGGTACATTTGCAAAACAGAAAGTACAGTATTTATTTGACTAGTTCCCAGGCCTGGTTCTGTGAAATAGTTTTAGATGTGTGTGAAGTACTCAGATAAGATTTTCTTCCTTGTTTTCTGTTAAACATCTTCCGAAAAGCCAAATAATTTAATTCTAATTTGCCAAACTATAATGCAAGACAACTTTCAAATACTCGACACCTGCACTGTGTAAGCTACACATGAGCAGCTTTCATCCACTGTCATCTCCTCTCATACGCCCAATGTCTCAGTTCTGCTGTGCAGTCAGACACGTTCCGTCACTGTTTACAGCCCAGTATGCAATTACTGTTGTTATTCGCGCAAGTTGGACGAAAACAGACTTTAAGCTCAAGGGTTCCAACTAATGACCAATCCATTTCACATCAAGCGTGGACAGCTGCATCGATTAACACTGACGCAAATCCATTGTGCCAGATGCACGTGAGACAGAGAATATGGCTGAAACGCATCCAGTCAGTGCAGACAGCTATTAAAGCTTTAATGTTAAAAATAGCTTAAAAGGACGCAACTGTACACCACCAATCACACAGTTCAATCTTTGATATGAGCTAAATACGTCTGAAATTATTTGATCCTTCTTGTTGGAAAAGAAATGTCAAAAACTGTTTGTTTTTTGTGTTTTTTTTAACAGCTTTATCGCACTAAACTCTGATCAGTACAGCCGGTTGCTAATAATCCTACTTCCAGAGTCACCCGTGCAACTATACCCAACAACAACCTAATTCAGGATTCAAACTGCATTCTTTGCATGTTGTAATTCAGCTTTTCCCCTCTTTTGGGTTAAAAAAAAAAAAAATCTCACCAACGTTGGGGATTTCAAGCCTCTCATTAAACCCCCACTCATTGTGTTTCCCTTTCAGGTGCAGTTCTGAATGGAGACAAACTAGTGGAGCTGCTGGACGGGTCAACCCCGATCAGGACTGACCCATTCTGACAACACGCACTGCCAAGAAGCCCTGCTCTCCTCTCTGACCCTTTCCCCCCCAAAACCCCTGCTCCATCCCCTATAATATGGGCACCAGATGCCGGTGCTAAACTGTCCTGCAGGCCGCCCCCCCCGTTGTCACCATTTCTACCTTTTACATGTACAGTAACTTGTCGAAGCATAATGTACTGTGTATTTCTTCTACAGGAGATGTGTAGGTTATCTGTAAAATAATATAAATATGCCATTTTTAATATATACACACATCTATGTATAAAAAAAAAAAAAGATATTCAGAGTTTGTGCAAAAAAATGTCCCTGCCACCTCATTTAGTGGACCATAGATTAATATATGCTGCTCTTTAAACTCTCTCCATATTACCCCTCGTCCCTCTAGATCATTTTGTACATATGGTTTTATTTTTTCATTGTGCTGATGATGATTATGATGATGATGATGATGATGAACCTGTGCTGCACCATACAGAGAGGAAGAGATTCTGGATGTTGTGTGAAAACCTGCCCTCTAGTGGTGAACAAAAGAAAAAAAAAAGAAGAAGAAGAAAAAAGAAACCACTCCGAGGCCCTATTCCGTCAACAACAAAAACTTCATTATCCTTTTCTTATGGACTCGCAGGAGCGTTTCAAGAGGACGTGTGTCGACGCACTGGAACAAAACGTGACAAGCACTTTTCATACAACCGCATCAACTCAATGGACTATTTAGTAGCCAAGGACGAAACAAGAGACGCCGTTGCTCTCCGAAGTTGCACAAAACTTCCTCTCAGAGAACAAAAAAAAAAAAAGAAGAAGCAGTACGTCGCTCGCAGAAGCCGTCACTTGTCGTACTGTATGTTTTGTCGGGCGACGCGTTAACACAAAGGACAACTACACTTTCAGCCGAGCTGGCCTTCTCCCCCCAAAACCCTTCAGACACTAACCGAACAGATGAAATAACTGAAAGACAGACTGCTTTAGCTCATAGTGTGTGTAGAGTGTATATGACCATGTTGAAGTGAGGTGACTTAATGACAAAAAAACCTGTTGCTTGCTGTGACTTACATTTGGTGTAACTGTTAACTCTTTGTTTCCGTCAGAGTTTCCAGGGTAACCTGTTGTATAGCCCTGTTTTCTGTCTTTTAGTTATTTCGGATGGACCACTCAGAAACGAGTCTTACGCTTTTTTTTTTTTTTCATTCGTTTTTACATCTTCGATTTGCACGAACAATGAATCATTTTATTTTGTGTCCATTTTTTATTTATTACTTCTTGTACTTTGGTCAAAACTAAGTGGTGAGCAAACAAATTTTCATTGTCAATAAAATAAAAAACTGTCAGTGAGCGAGTTGCCTTCATTATTTGTCATTCATAATTCAAAATGTTGTTTAGCTGGAGGGCTCGGTTGTGTATAAACAGTAGCTGCACATCGCCTCTGTTCATTAATTATGAATCTGCAAAGCTTGTAGTGCATTGTGGGTTCACATTATTATTCAGATTAAGTACAAATATATCGTTTGTTCCATTATTACAAGTGGAGATATTAATCCAGCTGCATGGATTTTTAAGGCAAGAACTCTCTAGCAACAATGCCGGCCTGACATGGACGACTACAGTCACTAATTTTGCGTCTACTTCGCAGCACACTGCATGGTGGGAATATTCTTGCAAAGTTCTTCTAAAACAGAGTGTGGTCCTGGTTTTCAGTTTTCTCTCAGGTTCAGGCTCGGCTGCGTCCGAGAGCTTTCTCAACTTGTGTCTCGATGTCTTTGAACACCTCTGGGTCCTCAATGGTCGGAGTGATCTGTGGAGGAAAAACAGCTCTTTTGAAAAAAAACTAAAGAATACACACATTTATCTAAATTGTACCCTTTCTAATGCATTTCTAAATTTATTACATCAATTCTCTCGAGAATTTAAACTGCAAACGCAACTGTCTTACGTAAGGAATTGTTTCCCACTTTGTCATCCCAGTTTCTCGTGGGGAGCATCTGATCAGCAGAATACTGAGTCAGTAACTATAAAGAGATAAAATCCCAGATGAACCTCGGTTGTGTTTAATGAGCGCGGGGTCTGCTAATGCAACATCATTGCTCAAACTCTCAGTAGCAAAATGAGCTTTACCGTCTCCTGAGCTGCTGTAAAATCCTTTGCACAGTGTGTGTGTGGGGGGACAGAATAACACAAACTATATTTTCCTTCAGAGAATTGACCCTGCAGCGCTTGATGATGGTATATAATGCACCAAATGTAAGGGTTGCGTCACACCTTGTAGGGCTTGCCGTTAACCAGGTTGGCCAAAGAGGAGCGAGGGATCTTGCCGGAGCGCGTCTTCGGCAATCCGTGGACAAAAAGCACTTTCTTGAAGGCGGCCACCGGTCCGATGGTGTCTCTCACGAGCTTCACCATCTCGTTTACGACCTCCTCTTCAGTTTTCTGCACACCTGAGACACATAGAGGCAAACATGTAGCTTTAATGCCGCCTGTAATTTCTATGTTGGTATAGATGTTGTAGCGAGGTTATCTAATGTCCCCCAAGTACAAATGGCAAAATACTGATATCAAAAAAGTCCTGAATGGTAATGCAATCCTCACCTTTCCTAAGTACACACAGGGCCAAGGGAACATGACCCTTCAGAGAGTCCTCCACACCCACCACTGCACAGTCTCCCACTGCTGGGTGCTGCATCACCGACTGCAAAACACAACCATATGTCATGATAATACCATGAAAGAATATTTATGTCACTCCTTTTGTTCCTCCTCTGGTACCTCCTCCAGCGCTCCGGCCGACAGCCTGTGACCCGCCACGTTGATGACATCGTCAGACCTGGACATGATGTAAAGGAAATCCTCCTCGTCCACAAAACCTGCATCCATGGTGTCATAGTAACCCTGGGGTTAACAAAAACGAAAGATGCATTGGTAGCAGTTTAGAAGAGCCCAAACAGTCTAACCATAAGAGATTCTCCTAAAGTTGAATGCTTAAGGTGTTTAGTATAAACATTTTGTCATTTGCTTTCTCAGAAATTCAGTTCCTTTGATTGAACGTCTGAGCAAACTTTGCAAAAATAGTTCTGCATTGTACAATTTCAACACTAGAGGGCAGCATTGCACCACAAACGCAACACAACCCGCCCTCATACATTATTGATCCAGTGTCAGAAAAGCAGAACTGAGCATAACTTCAAAGAATTACAACTATTACAATTCAAAAATATCTTTCTGTTATTAATCCCCGGAGCTATTTTCGGGGTGATTTCACCACCTTTACTTTGAAGCTCTTATCTTAGTCATTATGGTTACGCATTGTTTTTTTCAGAACAGTCGAGTCAATGCAGATCTTCCATTACTGATATGATGATGCCTGCAAACTTCTTATATTATCACTAATATCGATGAAAAACAAGCTTTTGTTTAATTAAAATATTGTGTTTCTACATGTGTCTCACAATAAAACGCTGCCAGTAATGTTACTTTTTGTCGCCATTTAGGAAACATTCTCTGGAATCTGCCAGCAGCAGAGCCGTGACGGTGGGAGGCAATTTAGAAAAAAATGTGTGTCCACATGCGACCACAGCCTTTAAATCACTGCAATGAGAAGCAAACTCTTGTTTTGTGTGTTTTTTGACTAAGTGGGATGCTATGTCAGCTGTATTTTGGAGGCAATGCAGAAAATTTGCTGCAATTTCCAAACCAGATTATTGTTTTGCTGCACAGAGAAACAACTAGAAGGAGTAACTTCTGCTGTTTCTGCAGAATTAAACTACTGGGACTCAGTGACTTGCTCAACCGAAAAAAAGGAGGAGTGAGAAAATGGGTTAAGAAATTAAAGAAGTTAAATCTGTTTTTGTAATGTGATTACTTTGGTATGCACAAACATCTGAAGCAACATTACAAAGCTCCCATCCCAACAAGTTCAAGAGTAACTCCAGCAAAAGTATTGAGTGTGGAGATGGATGCAGGTAATAACTATGATTAAATTTAAATATAATTTCTAAATCATTTTTCTCGATAACACTTTGTCACACAGACAAATAACTGGAATCACTGGAAAGGTCAAGCCGTGCCTCGCTGTTGTGATTACAGTGTGCAATCCAGCCGAGAAGAAGGAACAGGACGCTGGATGCCAATTTCGTCTGTCGGGCTCTAGGGGTTAAATCAGATGGGGTTTCTATGGTGCAACATGTTTCTTCTCCCCCTAGGAGGGCAGTCAGACACAGCAATCTTCTGCCAAGACAAAAACTGCACCAAAATGTAATGATTTTTTTTCTTTTTTTTAACCACCTGCCCACCATGAATTCCAGCCTGGTAGTTTTTGCAAAACATACCTGACAAACTGAGAACATTCCTCCCACTCAGCTCTGTCCTCAGAGAAGGAATAAACATTATTTTGTGAAGAAATTACAATACGACTTACTGGGAACTTTGTGAAGTAGAGCTTCTTGAACAAATCCTGGTTCTGCCACAATGACAGAGCTGCACCTGGTGGTAAAGGTAGTCTGAGGGGGATAAGTACAAGCTGAATGTAGTTCGGCACATGAAACCTCTCAACTACAGAACAGTTTCTACATGGCCCTACACATAAAATGTCTGGATCATTTGGGGGGTTTGGGTCATTCTAAAATCAGCCAAGTCTATGAAATTCTACTCCCTAAAGCCGTGGGGGTGTGTAAAGACGGCTATGCCTTCATTTCACTTCGTCTCCACACACAGCCGGGCTCTGCCAGACTTCACCTTGCCTCACCCACACTGAGTCACCCAAACAAACACACGGCGTAGATAGGAGAGCTCAGCGACTCCGTCTTTGTTTAACCAGAGACTACAGGTAATCCCACTTCTTGGCCAGTGTCCTGATCAAGATGGTCCAATTTCACTTTTGAACCCTAAACATGACTCTGCATAGATTAATTTCACTACAAGGAGAACATTCAAACCAAAAACTCTTACTTCTGATGCTAATTTTCTGTGGAAAGAGGAAGATTAAAATCATGTTTTTCTGCTGTTTGACTACATAAAAAATGCACTTTTCTTCCGATACACAGAAGCTCCAAATGTAAACAAACAGATTTATGATAAAAAAACAACATTATGCAGCAAAAAAACGAATGATTTATCACGTTGCATTAGATCTCTGAACCCCAAAACCTGTTTGTAGGTTTAAAAGGCATCTTTGTTTTGGTTTTAATCGCCAACATCACACTGTTCATCATAGAAAGAAAGAGGGAATACAGGAACTTTTCAACTTTCTAGC